TAAACCCTAAACCCTAAGCCACAAACCCTGAGCCCTAAACCCCCAATGCTTTAGTGGGGAATGAGGGAATGAGGTACCTTAAAACAATCCCTCAAGGGCTATATCGAGGGGATAGAAGCAACCTCCCTCATGCCCTGTCAAGAAAAAGTAGGGTTTAGGTTAGGGTTTAGGGCTCAGGGTTTAGGGTTCAGGGTTTAGCATCTAGGATTTAGGGTTTAGAGTTTAGGGTTTAGGGTTGGGGCCAGAAAGCCGTTGGGTGTCAAGCTGTGAAACCTACGAGGCCTCCAGACTCTAATCCTTCCATAGGCCCAATAATCGGAGCTCTCGACACCCCCTACGGATCCTACAACTTGGACCCTAAACCCTAAACCCCTAAACCCCTAAACCCTAAACCCTAAACCCCAAACCCTAAACCCCAAACCCTAAACCCTAAACCGCCTAAACCCGAAACCCGAAACCCGAAACCCGAAACCCCAAACCCCAAACCCCAAACCCCAAACCCTAAACCTTAAACCCTAAACCCTAAACCCTAAACCCTAAACCCTAAAACCCTCAACCCTGCATGTGAACGCTGGGTGTGCCTGGGAGCAGGCTGCCGAGGCGGTACGAGCGGTCTCGAAGGACCGCTGTCGGCTGTGCAGCCTAGCAGGTCCCCTAAACCCTAAACCCTAACCCTAAACCTAAACCCTAAACCCTAAACCCCAAACCCTAAGCCCTACACCCTAATCCCTAATCCCTAAACCCTAAACCCTAAACCCTAAACCCTAACCCCTAAGCCCTAAACCCTAAACCCTTAACCCTTAACCCTTAACCCTAACTCTGAGGGTGTAGGGTTCAGGGGTTTAGGTCTTTAGGGTTTGGAGTTTTAGGAGGGGTTGGGGCGGGTTTAGGAGAGGTTTCAGGGGTTTTCCAGGACCGAGCCTGTGGCTTTCTGGGTTGAGGGTTCAGGATGAGCCAGAGACGACTCTTCTTTCGGGGTTCAGGGTTTAGGGTTTAGGGTTTAGGGTTTAGGGTTTAGGGTTTGGGGTTCAGCCTTCAGGGTTTCAGGATTCTGTGAAGTGTTAGGCGCCCCAGGGCCGCACCTAAACCCTGCATTCAAACCCAAAGCCCTAAGCCCTAAGCCCTACATAAGTCCAAAGAAACCCAACCCCCTCAAAACCTCCTAAACCCTAAGCCCTAATTTTTCACCCTAAAAACCCTCAACCGTAAACCCCAAACCCTAAACCCTAAACCCTAAACCCAAGCCTCCCCCACTTCAAGGACATCAAGGTCACAAGGGCCGGCTCAGTGCAGAACCTGCCAAGAGAAGGATCGGAGTTCTGCAAATCTGCACGAGAATACTGTGTGCCCTTGCTCGAAGTGGGAGTTTAGGGTTTAGGGTTTAGGGTTTAGGGTTTAGGGTTTAGGGTTTGTGGTTGTAGGTTCTAAGTTTGAGTTGAGGGTTTAGGGTCTGGGGCTTTGGGTTCTCGGGCTTGATTGGGGGTTTTGGACTTCGGGTTTAGGGTTTAGTGCTTAGGGTTTAGGGTTCAGGTTTTTTTTTTTTTTTTGGGGGGGGGGGGTTCGGGTTTTGGGCTATTGCATGGCTTTAAGCCTGTTGGGGTCTGGGGTTTTGCGGATTTAGGGCTTGGGGAAGCTATACTGAAATGGCCCTTTCACGCATGCTCCGTAACAGGACCCTCTTAAACCCAATCAGGGCAATACAAGATGTCCAGTAGCAAAAGTATGAAGTCCTAGGACGCAGAGTAGGCCTTTTTCTCCCTTCTTTCGGGTTCAGTTAGGGTCCCTTATAAGCCCCTTTAAACGTCAGAACGGGTACCCTTTGTAAATCTAGATTACTCCTGGGTCGCACGAAACCCTAAACCCTAAACCCTAAGCCCTAAGCCCTAAACCCTAAACCCTAGTAAATGGTAATAGCATGAAATCATGGGCTCCGCTGGGCAATTTCAAGCCTGCAGCTTGCACCACCTTTGCCGCAATTGGGTGGTAGCAAGCTGACCGACGAGCGAACACCCCAAACCCTAAACCCTAAACTCTAAACGCTAAACCCTACACCCTCAACCCTCAACCCTAAACCCTAAACCCCAAATCCTAAACCCTAAACCCTCTATTAAGGGACTCCCATAAGGAGCAGATCTGCCGCGGCGATGCCGCGGCGCCCGCGGCGGCGGCCGCGGACCGGCCGGCGCCGGCGCTGGCGGCCCCGGGCGCCGGGGCTTAGGGTTTTTAGGGTTTAGGGTTTAGGGTTTTAGGGTTTAGGGTTGAGGGTTTAGGCGTTTAGGGTTTAGGCGTTTAGGGTTTGGGGTTTAGGGTTTAGGCGTTTAGGCGTTTAGGCGTTTAGGGTGTAGGGTTTAGGGTTTAGGGTTTAGGGCTGGAGCAATTTAGGGTTTAGGGGCTTTAGGGTTTGAGGCTTTGGGGCTTTAGTGTGCTCGAGAGTTCAGGGTTTTAGAACTTCGTAGGGGTCTAGAGTTTTGAGTTTTCGTCGTAAACCCTAAACCCTAAACCCTAAACCCTAAACCCTAAACCCTAAACCCTAAACCCTAAACCCTAAACCCTAAACCCTAAACCCTAAAACCCTAAACCCTAAACCCTAAACCCTAAACCCTAAACCATTCAAATCTTCCAGGCGGCCATCCGTACCTCAACGGCATGAAATATCGGCGCACCCTGGCTGACATTGGGTTTTCCCAGAAAGGGGTTTAGGATTACAAATTTGAAGCTTGAAGATACAAGGGTTTAGGGTATTTCGGGGAGCCCAGTACAAAAACACAAATAAAAGAGGGACACCGGTTTCATCAGAGACGTGCTGCTGTGCTGTTCTTGCTAGGTAGGCCCTTGGGATATTATGTATATTTCTTCGCCCTTATTTGGGTTCAAGAGGACCGTATTCAGGAATCTTTGTCAGAGGGTTTTGGGGGCCATCCTAGCTTGCAACGGCACCTTTTTGTTCCGGGGGGGGATCTTGGACCTTAGCTCCACAACCCGTGCGACCCGTGCGACTGTGTGTGTGGTGGCTTAGGGTAAGCAACAGGTTTGGGAAGCGCACGTCACCAAGCCTCATAAACCTAAACCCTAAACCCTAAACCCTAAACCCTAAACCCTAAACCCTAAACCCTAAACCCTAAACCCTAAACCCTAAACCCTAAACCCTAAACCCTAAACCCTAAACCCTAAACCCTAAACCCTAAACCCTAAACTTCATCAACCCCTGGAAGCAGCACCCGAGGCGGTGGCTACGCGATCCTCCGAGCCCTCTGGGATGCCGAGAAATCTCGGAGCTACCCGGGGTTCATGACCAAGGAGCCAGCCCTAAACCCTAGACCCTAAGCCCTAAGCCCTAAGCCCTAAACCCTAAACCCTAAACCCCAAACCCTAAACCCTAAACCTCAAGCCTTAAAAGCTGTTGGTTTGAGTTGGGGTTTGGGGTTTCGGCTCTCTTGGGGCTTGGGATTTTGGGTTTAGTTGGAAGTGGTAGTGCAACTGCACCTTCTTGCCTCTGGAGGGCCCACGACCGCGCACATCACGAAGCCCCGTCCAAACCCTGTATCAATCCTAAGACATGAGGCCTTCAGTGGCAGAAACCCTAAGCCCTAAACCCTGAACCCTAAACCCTGAACCCTAAACTACCCTAAACACCCTAACCCCTAAACCCTAAACTACCCTAAACACCCTAACCCCTAAACCCTAAACTAGCCTAAACACCCTAACCCCTAAACCCTAAACACCCTAAGCCCTAAACCCTAAACGATCTGATGTTTCATGGCTTCGCCACTGTCTTGAAGGATGAGATCTGCAAGCTGGGGCAGAAGTACTGCGACGAGCCGATGAAGGACGGTTGAGGTCGGGTTTAGGGTTTAGGGGTTTAGGGTTTAGGGTTTAGGGTTTAGGGTTTAGGGTCTCGAGTCTAGGGTTTAGGATTTAGGGTTTGCGGTTTGGAGTTTGGGGTTTGGGGTTTGGGGTTTAGGGTTTAGGGTTTAGGTGTGTCTTCTGCTTGCATGGAAGGCATTGGCGAAATCCCTCTTGAAACCCCATGACATTAAACCCTCAATACAAACCCAATAAAAACCCTCAATACCAACCCAATTCAAACCCTGTTTAACCCTCGAAGCCCGAGATAAAACCCTAAAAGCCTCCACCCTGTACTCCCCGACCTTCACAGAAGCTACTGTGAAGAACAGCCCCCTCGGCCCTAGATTTCCCCTGGCCGGAAACGATTCTGTCCCGAGGAAGCAATTCTGGCATAGAATTTCCCCGGCCGGAAACCTGACAACTTGTGTTCCCGAAACTTGCTACTCTGACGACTCTACACCTGCATATCTTCGCACCGACATGCCCTTCCTCAACCTCCTCTCGGATACGTCTCTACTTGGTATGCGACGTTGCTTTGGGGGTGGGCTCGTCTTCATACTACGGCGCGCTCACCAGCGCCTAAAGCCTGAACCCTAAACCCTACACCCCAAACCCTAAACCTTAACCCTAAACCTTAACCCTGACCCGGAGTGGGCCCTCAAGGCCACAGGAAAACCCCTTCCCGATGGGCAAAGGGGAGTTAGGGGCGTTTAGGGTTCAGGGTTTAGGGTTTGGGTTTAGGGTTTAAGGTTTGGGTTCAGGGTTGAGGGTTCAGGGTTTAGGGTGTAGGGGTTTGCGAGTATGGGGCACCTAGAAAAGGTTTCAGAACAAGGACAAAGTGAGATTGAAATAGTCCGCAATCCCTAAACCCTAAGCTCCAAGCCCCAAGCCCTAAACCCTAACCCTAAGCCCTAAACCCTAAACCCTAAACCCTAAAACCCTAAAACCCTAAAACCCTAAAGCCCTAAAACCCTAAAACCCTAAACCCTAAACCCTAAGCCCGAAAAAGCCCTGAAACTTTGAGAGGACAGCTACTGGGACGGTCGTGAGCATGGCCACGGCTGGGAGTCGAACAAGTCGCTCCTGGCCCACCGGCTCATCTCAAGGAGAGGGCTCCACATTTACCCCTTTGAGGGTTTAGGGTTTAGGGTTTAGGGTTTGGGGTTTAGGGTTTAGGGTTTAGGGTTTAGGGTTGAGGGTTGAGGGTTTAGAGTTTAGGGTTTAGGGTAAACCTTTGAGGGTGCGAGGGTTCTGGGGTTTAGGCTTCAAGGTTTTGGGTAAACCCTAAACCCTAGACCCGTCAAGGTTCAGGGTGGTCGGGGCTGTTTCGCTGTGCCACCGTGAGTCGTGTTGTCGCGCGTGAACTTCCAACTAAGGCCCCTAAACCCTATACCCCAAACCCCAAACCCCAAACCCCAAACCCCAAACCCCAAACCCCAAACCCCAAACCCCAAACCCCAAACCCCAAACCCCAAACCCCAAACCCTAAACCCTAAACCCTAAACCCTAAATGAGCGCCTGCCAAAATTATGTTTCTTGAAGCCAGTACTACGGTGGACACGAGTTGTTAAACCATGGGAAGCGATATGGGCCCCACCTAAAGCGATAACATTAGTTTGCACATTTAGATACATGCATCAACAGTCCCATAGTATGTAAAGCGATATGGGCCCCACGTAAAGCGATAACTTGGTATCTCGCGACCTCGTACTGTGTAAAGTAATTTCGTCCGTCGCTCAAATGTCGCAGAAGCAACTGCTGGGCAGGCAGAAGCACAAGCGGACGCCTGTCAACGGCTTCCGAGGCCCCAGAACCTTTGGCTTAGGCCTCGTGCCTGGTTTTGGTGTTTCGGGTTTAGGGCTCATGGTTTACGGTTTAGGGTTTGGCGCCGAATATAGCGGTCGGAAGAATCACTAAACGTATTCCCTTCTGGTCCCTTTGTAAATATGTTAGAATAACCCCCGAAACCCCAGTCTAACTATTAAGGACCCTCTATCAAAGGGGTTGTCTTCAACAGCCAGTCATGACTATCTCTTCATCTTGTTTAGCCATCCCCATCGTGTGAGTACCCATAGAGTTCTTTCTGGAGCCCCGCACCTAGGCTTCCCCAAGCCCCATGCCCTAAACCCGAAACCCTAAACCTTCAATCCTAAACCCTAAACCCTAGACCCTGAACCCTAAATCCTAAACCCTAAACCCTAAACCCTAAACCCTAAACCCTAAACCCTAAACCCTAAACCCTAAACCCCATACCCTAAACCCTCAACCCTAAACCCTAAACCCTGCGTAAAGCCCCAAAGTTCCCTCAAGCGCCAGGCCCCAAGGACCAAATCGCGCTCACAGAGGAAGGGCGGCGCTTCGTGCCGCTGATGCTGGCACCCCGTCCTTGCGTTTAGGGCTTTGGGTTTAGGGTTTAGGGTTTAGGGTTTAAGGTTTAGGGTTCAGGGTTTAGGGTTTAGGGTTTAGGGTTTAAGGTTTAGTGTTAGGGTGTTTCTCTTCGGCTGTCTGTAGGTTTAGGAGCTCTAGGGAAACCCTCTACCACAAACCCTCAACCTCAACCCTCAACCCTAAACCCCTAACTCCTAACAACTAAACCCTGAACCCTGAACCCTGAACCCTAAACCCTAAACCCTGAACCCTGAACCCTCAACCCTAAACCCTCAACTCTTCAGGCAAATTTTAAGGAGGAGGACGACGGCCGGCCTCCGCCTGAGGCACCTGCGGTCTAGGGTTTCGGGTTTAGGGTTGAGGGTTTAGGGTTTAGGGTTTAGGGTTGAGGGTTTAGGGTTGAGGGTTTAGGGTTTCGGGTTTAGGGTTTCGGGTTCAGGGTTTAGGGTTTAGGGTTGAGGGTTTAGGGTTGAGGGTTTAGGGTTTAGGGTTTAGGGTTTCGGGTTCAGGGTTTAGGGTTTAGGATTGAGGGTTTATAGGGGCTGAGGGTTCGGGTTCAGGGGGTCTAGGGGTCCAGGGGTTTCTGAGGGTTTGGGGGGTCAGGGTGAGGGTTTTGGGGGGATGCCTGCCTCCACTGGCTCAGTTGCAAGCACTGCCGTCCTGCCCGAAGCGCACCCGTAACCCCCTGCATCCTGGCCCTAGATGCCACCAAAGCCTAAGCCGCCGCCGTAACACCACCCTAAAGCCCCAAGCAAGGCCTAAACCCGCAAACGCATTATGGTTTAGGGTTTAGGGTTTAGGGTTTAGGGCTGTAGCCTCTCTGTTGTACGGTTTGGGAGTCGCAGGTGGGGTGTTTAGGGTTTAAGGTTTAGAGTTTGGGGTTTCGGCTTTGGATGTTTCCTGGGACTCTGCCTTGGGCCCCTAAGGTTGCACCCTTGGCTATGTGGACCCTATTTCAGATTCCTAAGAGGTAATCTACGTGCCATATCAGGAGTATCTTAAAGGGAGACCTTTAGGGGTACAACCGTAGGCCGTAGGGGAACAGTGTTTGGGGTTTAGGGTTTAGGGTTCAGGGTACTAGTCTTAACCCCATGAGTGTTTAAGCCCACATGCCCCCCAAGAGGCGCCCGCCTTCGTGCGGAGGCCGCCAGGCCCTCCGAGCAGGCTGTCGCCTGGCCGGGGTTGGGTCACACCGTCCCTACGTCCCAAAGTCCCTACGTCCCTACATCCCTACGTCCCTAAGTGCCTAAGTGCCTAAGTCCCTAAGTGCCTCAGTGCCTAAGTCCCTAAGTCCCTAAGTGCCTAAGTCCCTAAGTCCCTAAGTCCCTAAGTCCCTAAGTCCCTAAGTGCCTAAGCCCCTAAGTCCCTAAGTCCCTAAGTCCCTAAGCGGTTTAGGGTTGAGGGTTGAGGGTTTAGGGTGATGATGTAGGGTTTTCAGTACGGCTTCGGGTTTCTTGCGCAAGGACCTCCAAGAAAGGACCCTGTCTTCTTTCACCTGTCAGGCCTTCAAGGATACAGTAGGATGCCAGAAGCACTTGGATAGACGTACTGCTTCCTGGTAGGGAAACTCGTGGAGTTCAATTAAGGGTGCCAGGCTCCCAAAATGTCCCTCAAAGAGTTGTGTCGGGGGATGTAGGTACCTCATTTTCCCCGACGAAGAGCAGGCAAGATGAGGAGGTCGCGCGAGTCCTTCTTTGATTCCTAAACCCTAAACCCTAAACCCTAAACCCTAAACCTAAACCCTAAACCCTAAACCCTAAACCCTAAACCCTAAACCCCAAACCCTAAACCCTAAACCCTAAACCCTAAACCCTCAGCCCGGCTCCGATGCCCTGAGCCACGGAGCTGCCCCTGCGTGATGTCTCGGACCCCGGACCCTGGTAAGAGTCCTTTCCTTCCCGGCGACTCGGTGGGCCCAAGCAAGGATTGGCAAACCTCGAAGAAACCTTATAGCTGCCGCCACCCAAAACCCCAAACCCGAAACCCCAAACCCTAAACCCTAAACCCTAAACCCTGAATCCTAAACCCTAAACCCTAAACCCTGAACCCTGAACCCTGAACCCTAAACCCTAAACCCTAAACCCTAAACCCTAAATCCTAAACCCTAAACCCTAAACCCTAAACCCTGAACCCTAAACCCTAAACCCTAAACCCTAAACCCCAAACCCGAAACCCCAAACCCTAAACCCTAAACCCTAAACCCTAAACCCTAAACCCTGAACCCTAAACCCTAAACCCTAAACCCCAAACCCATATTTTAGAGAAAGTGACCAACCACATGATCAACCATGGCCCAGGTCCCAAGCAGACGAGGCGGAACTCAGGCCCCACACTTCCGGTGAGTTGTCAAGATGCCAGGCTCCCGAAACCCTAAACCCTAAAACCCTAAAACCCTAAAACCATAAAACCCTAAAACCCTAAACCCTAAAACCCTAAAGCCCTAAAACCCTAAAACCCTAAACCCTAAGCCCCCCTAAGCCCCTGACACACCCCTAAACCTCTAAGACGGCTTAACCCTAGAACCTAAGCCCACCTTTCAGACTCCTTGCACTCCCCCCCCCCCCCCCACCCCTCACCCCACAACCCCTGATTTACCCTAAACCCTAAACCCTAAACCCTAAACCCTAAACCCTAAACCCTAAACCCTAAACCCTAAACCCTAAACCCTTATAAGCCTGTAAAGCACTAAAACTCGAAGTCGCCCGGACTCTCTACTCCACACCCTAGAAAAATCTAAATCGTCCAGCCGGGGTCTCAGGGTGTTAGGGGTCCTGGCGTGCTTTTGGTTTAGGGTTTAGGGTTTAGGGTTTAGGGTTTAAACCTTAAGGTTACGGATCCTAATAAGCCCTAGCTAAGCCAAAGCTAGGAGTTCTACGCGTGCTAAAAGTTAAGGTTTTTTGGGGCTCCCTGCCGTCAGGTCCTGGGTCTCACAGGCCCTTCCTGGAAAGGAGAAGTCCTTTCAAGTGAGCAAGGCGCGACGCCAGCGCTTGCACGAACTGGTGAAAGAATTGCGCCTCGGATTCTTCGCGTCTTTCATAAAACAGGTGTATTCCCTCCCCCCCCTCCCCCACACTAAGTTTAGTTCAGAGGTTCGGGGCTTGGCGTTTTCAAAGACTTTTCGGTTGTTTTTCGAGTGAAATCCCCACGCCTGAAACAAAAACTACACATATCCGAGCAAAGTTTAGGGTTTAGGGTTTAGGGTTTAGGGTTTAGGGTTTCCTCAGGGTTTAGGGTTTAGGGTATAGGGTTTAGGGTTTAGGGTTTTGTGAAAACAGCCTCAGGAATGCTTCTGGCGAGTACGGGCTGCTCAGCCACGACTCGCAAGGTGCCGGGCGGTGCCCCAGCTGATTTACAAAGGTGGGTCCTCTTTGGGTCTCTATAGCTGCCCTTATAGGGTTTATTTAGGGTTTAGGGTTCAGGGTTTAGGGTTTAGGGTTTAGGGCTATTGGAGTATATTTCTTGTAGATTGGCTGCCCAAGCCAATTTAGGATCAACCCCCTCGATTTGCTGCAAACCTGCTGCCTGCTGCTGGTAGCCGCATGCCTAAGCGTTCTCTGCCGACCTACGGGCGTCAGCTTGGAGCAGATTCTGGCGCTAAGGCACCGTGTCCTGGTGATCAGGAAGGAGGGAGGTTCAGCTACTTGGCTGCTGTCAGGGAACGTAATCGAAGTCACCCTAAATAAACCCTAGGCCGAAACCGAAACCCTAAACCCTAAACTCTAAACCCTAAACCCTAAATTTAAACCCTAAATTTTAACCCCTAAACCCTAAACCCTAAACCCCAAACCCCAAACCCCAAACCCTAAACCCTAAACCCTAAACCCTAAACCCTAAACCCTAAACCCTAAACCCTAAACCCTAAACCCTAAACCCTAAACCCTAAACCCTAAACCCTAAACCCTAAACCCTAAACCCCCCAAACCCTAAACCCTAAACCCTTAGAGGCGAAGCTCCGTACAGCAACCCAGGCTACAAAGAGCGGCATCTCCCAGCCGTCTGCAGGCCAGAGCTCGAAAGCCTATGTTCCTAGCGGCTTAGGGTTTAGGGTTTGGGTTTAGGGTTTAGGGTTCAGAATTTAGGGTTTAGGGTTTAGGGTTTAGGGTGAACCTCGCACCCTCAAATCCACCGAGGCGCTGTTGTCCCAGGGCGCTCGCAGCTTTTGGGCTTCGGGAGGGCGGCGGGGGGTTAGGATTTCGGGTGTACCTGAACCCTAAACCCAAAGCCCTAAACCCTAAACCCTAAACCCTAAACCCTCAACCTTAGACCCTAAACCCTAAACCCTAAACCCTCAACCCTCAACCCTAAACCAATAAACCCTGAACCCTAAACCCTAAACCCTCAACCCTCAAGCCTAATCCCTACACCCTAAACCCTAAACCCGAAACCCTAAACCCTAAAGCCTAATCCCTAAACCCTATATCCCTAAACCCGAAACCCTAAACCCTAAACCCTAACAAACCCTAAGCCTTTTCAACCCTCAAACTGTTGGAACAGGCAGCCGGGCTCCCCGCCTCACCGAAGTCGACGACCTCGCCGGGCTGCTCGGCATGCCAGGCCTGGCGCCGGCCCCTCCAGGCCGGCCAGTTTTTGAGGGTTTTAGGGGTTTAGGGTTTAGGGTTAGCGTTTGGGGTTTAGGGTTTAGGGGTTAGGGTTTAGGGTTTAGGGTTTGGGGTCTAGGGTTGAAGGTTTAGGGTTTCGGGTTGTATGGCTTGGGGTTTATGGTTTAGGTTTTCTGGTTTAGGAGTTAGGGAAATTCGTTGTTTTGTCAGTGATATGGGTCGTTTTCGGCGGCATTCGGGCGTCAACGTGGTGTTCACTTCTCGGAGTTTTACCGCACTTGGGGAGGCAGACAAGGCAAAGCGTGTGGGCCGAGAGGTCGTAGTTAATCAATGGTTTGCAATCGGGACTATTGCTCCCTTTAAGCAACTAAGTCCCTCATTGCACTCGATCCCTTTGTGCTCACTTCATACGATGAAACTCTGGAAAGAGTGATGCCTTCGTAGGGAAATGGGTGAAGCGATGCAACACACGCACGCACTCACTCACGCACGCACGCACGCACGCACGCACGCACGCACGCACGCACGCACCCACGCACCCACGCACCCACGCACCCACGCACCCACGCACCCACGCACCCACGCACCCACGCACCCACGCACCCACGCACCCACGCACCCACGCACCCACGCACCCACGCACCCACGCACCCACGCACCCACGCACCCACGCACCCACGCACCCACGCACCCACGCACCCCGCACCCACGCACCCACGCACCCACGCACCCACACACGCACCCACGCACCCACGCACCCACGCACCCACGCACCACGCCCACGCACCCACGCACCCACGCACCCACGCACCCACGCACCCACGCACCCACGCACCCACGCACCCACGCACCCACGCACCCACGCACCCACGCACCACGCACCACGCACCCACGCACCCCGCACCACAGCACACGCACGCACGCGCACGCGCACCCGCACACGCGCACGCGCACGCGCACACACGCGCACGCGCACGCGCCACGCACGCACGCGCACGCGCACGCGCACGCGCACGCGCACGCGCACGCGCACACGCACACGCACACGCACACGCACACGCACACGCACACGCACACGCACACACACGCATACTCATGTAGATGACACAGGAAGAAACCCTCAACCCTTAATACTGAAGTTCAGGGGCTCCAACGACCTCGGCTTGAGGCATGTGCCGTGCGCCTGATGCTTGAGAGAGTTTGGATGATCGAACAAGCACATGCCCACACCCTGAAACCCTGAACCCAGAAGCCCTACACAGACTTAACCCTAAAACAACACGGGCATACACGCTACGCTAAACTGAAGACCCTACGCCTTCCATTCCTTCTCCCTAAACCCGAAACCTGGGCCCTGGGCCCTGGACCCAAAACCCTAAACCCTGAACCCTAAACCTAAGCAGAATACGGATCCACTATCCTTGGTGTTGCTTGCTATTGGAAAACCGAAAGGGACTGTTTACCTAGACCATGGATTGTTCTTTCGCGGGACAAACCCTCAACCCTAAACCCTGAACCCTAAACCCTAAACCCCCAACACTCCAGCATCCCGCACAGGCGCCCCGGGCTCGGTTGAGCCGACGGGACCAGGGCAGCGTTTGGGCGGCAAGCGCCCAGCGGAGGGAGGCCAGGTATGGGTGTAGCGTTTATTGCTCAGGGGTTAGGGGTTTAGGGGTTTAGGGGTTAGGGGTTCAGGGGTTTAGGGGTTAGGGGCTAGGGGCTAGGGGCTAGGGTTTAGGGTTTAGGGGTTGGGGGTTAGGGGTTTAGGGTAGTAGGGTTCCGACATGGAAGAATCAGGTGAAGGCTATCGGGTTGAGGGTAAAGGGTTGAGCGTTTGGGGTTTAAGGTGAAGAGGTTTGGGGCTAGTCGGCGCTGTTTGTACGGGGGCTATGGGGGCCTATGGGGTAGTAGGATTCAGGGAAGTAGAGTTAGGGTTCAGGGTTCAGGGTTCAGGGTTCAGGGTTCAGGGTTCAGGGTTTAGGGTTTAGGGTTTAGGGTTTAGGGTTTAGGGTTTAGGGTTTAGGGTTTAGGGTTTGGGGTTTAGGGTTTAGGGTTTAGGGTAGGGTTTAGGGTCTAAGGTTTAGGGTTTAGCGTTAAGGGAAGCCTTCCTGAGTATCCCTTAGCGTAAGGGTTCATGACCCTCATGGCTGGTGCAAGCCTGAAAGGCTGCGAGTCCGGGTCGTGCTACTTGATGCTTGCTATTTAGGGTTAAGGGTGAAGGATGAAGGGTTGAGGGTTTAGGGTTTGGGGTTTGGGGTTTGGGGTTTAGGGTTTAGGGGTCAGGGGGCCAGGTGGCTACCAACAGACATCCTTTCGAAGGGGAGGATGCGAACGACTGTGATTCTAATCCTGCAGCACACGACTAACTCGCGCGCCTGTTCTTCTAATCTAAGTGTCATATCCACGCAAGTGTCTGTCCACGGAGACCATCCGTACACGCAGGCCACGGAACTGTCCACGGACCCCATTGTCCACGGATGTGTTTTTTTAGGGACCCGAGGGAGGGAGGGAGGAAGCAGTGCGTTTTCGAGGCCTTCCAAAATGCACTTTGCTTGCAACTGGAGCTGCAACTGGAGGGTGGGAGGAAGCAGTGCGTTTTCGAGGCCTTCCAAAACGCACTTTGCTTGCAACTGGACGGAGGTAAGGGAGAAAGGAAGAGGGCGGGACTTCCAAAACGCACTTTGCTTGCGACTGGAGGGAGGGGCGGCTTATGGTCTCGTTTCACAGAATTACATGCTGATAGGGGCTCTGGTGCGTTTAGGGTGGTGGCCAAAACGCACTGAGCTCTTTTTCTCGGCGATTCGCACTGTGCATCCCAGCTGGTCCTGGCCAAGTCCTGGTGGAGTTTCGACATGCTTTACTGGTTGTAAGGCGCTTTCGGAATCAGGGTCTATTTTGGATCTAGGAAACCCTAAACCCTAAACCCTCTAAACCCTAAACCCTAACCCTAAACCCTAAAGCCTCCCGAGTCTAGGGGTTTAGGGGCACGACCCAGGGCCTTCACGGCGTTGAGGGTTTAGGGCAGATGTGGACCTTCAGAGATTGGGGTTTTTGGTTACACTTCCCCCTTCCGTCGCCGCTCTTCCCCTCCCCTCCCCCGTGCGTTTTGGGGGGCCTGCAAAACGACCTTCCACTTCCCCCTTCCGTCGCCGCTCTTCCCCTCCCCTCCCCCGTGCGTTTTGGGGGGCCTGCAAAACGCCCCCCCCTTCCCCCTCCCCCCCCCCCCCTCCCCCCCCCCCCCCTCCCCCCCCCCGCCGTTTTGGAAGACTGCAAAATGCTCTTCCCTTTTCTGCCCCCCCCGCCTCCCCCCCCCGCCTCCCCCCCCCCCCCCCTCCTCCCCTCCCCCCTCCTACTTTTTTGACCTGCAAAACCTTCCCTGCACCCCAAGCAAAGCCCCCCCCCAACCCCCAAAACACATTTTGCTTGGGTGGGGGGGGGAGTCGGTTTTGCAGGCCTTGAGACCAAATAAGTGGGGGGGGCTTTGCTTGCAGGGAAGGGCAGGTGCGGGGGTGGGGAGGCGGGGGGGGGAGAGCGTTTTGCAGCTCTTCCAAAACGCACGGGGGGGGGGGGGTGGGGGGGGGGGGGGGGGGGGGGGGAAGGGGGGGGTGCGTTTTGCAGGCCCCCCAAAACGCACGGGGAGGGGAGGGGAAGAGCGGGGGCGGAAGGGGGAAGTGCGTTTTGCACAAACCAAAAACCCCAATCCCTGAAGGTCCACATCTGCCCTAAACCACCCTCAGCGCCGTGAAGGCCCTGGGTCGTGCCCCTAAACCCTAGACTCGGGAGGCTTTAGGGTTTAGGGTTAGGGTTTAGGGTTTAGAGGGTTTAGGGTTTAGGGTTTCCTAGATCCAAAATAGACCCTGATTCCGAAAGCGCCTTACAACCAGTAAAGCATGTCGAAACTCCACCAGGACTTGGCCTGGACCAGCTGGGATGCACAGTGCGAATCGCCGAGAAAAAGAGCTCAGTGCGTTTTGGCCACCACCCTAAACGCACCAGAGCCCCTATCAGCATGTAATTCTGTGAAACGAGACCATAAGCCGGGCCACGCAGACCACGGAAACGTCCACGCAGCCACCGGCCACGCATGTGGAAATGACACTTAGCTTCTAATCCTTCAGAGCAGGAAGTATGGAGGACAGGAAGTAGAGAGGGAAGGGAGGGAGGAAGAACAGAAAGCACAGAAAGGACAGAAAGGACAGGAAGGGAAGGAGGGAAGGAAGGCATGCAGGCAGGAAGCAAGCAGACGACAGCCGGAAGGCACGTGCCCCTCAACTGCCATGACCCCAAGTTCTTTTTCTCCCCGCGTGTTTGGCATCAGGAGGTGTTGTCTGCATGCCCTCCCAACATGGTACACCTACAACCTCCGCGTGTTTCTTGCTGCCCTATGCTCCGTGCGCAGAAGATCTCCGACCCGACTGCCCTGAACTCTCTAGCCTTGTCTTCCCCACCCTATCTGCTGGCTTGCTGTGGATGTTAGGCAAGGCTACCAGAATGAGGAGAGGGTACCCTTATTCCTAGGTTACTCCGGGTTCAAAGTATGCATACACCCCTACTGTGGGATAGTTGCCGGGAAGGCGCCAAGGAGGCAGCTGCGGCTGCAGCCGAAAGGCGGCTTTTGGGCTTAGGGCTCATTTAGGGTTTAGGGTTTAGGGTTTAGAGTTTAGGGTGTAGGGTTTGGGGTTTAGGGTTTAGGGTTTAGAGTTTAGGGTGTAGGGTTTGGGGTTTAGGGTTTAGGGTTTAGAGTTTAGGGTGTAGGGTTTGGGGTTTAGGGTTTAGGGTTTAGGTTTCAGGGTTTGGGGTTCAGGGCCTAGGACTGACTGGGGCTTTGAATCCGGCCTGTGGTTTAAATTCTGAGCTCTTGGGTCATCAGCCAGGATGCTCGGTAGTACCCTATGTTTCTCTTTTTCAGGGATGGGGATCCCTTACCAACCGAACTCATTCCCCGGGTCACTGGCGCCAACCTTGGATGCGGTGTAAGTGCCATGAACTGGGTTGTACAAATCCCAAACTGGCCCAAACTAGCCAAAACCTTTAACCCGAAACCCTGAACCCTGAGCCTTATCCTAACCCTAAACCCTAAACCCTAAACCCTAAACCCTAAACCCTAAACCCTAAACCCCAAACCCTAAACCCTAAACCCCAAACCCTAAACCCTAAACTCTGAACCTTGAACCCTAAACTCTGAACCACATCGAGCCCGAATCTGTCAGAGGCGCCTTTCGGCTGCCCGCCCCGAGCTCGCGCGCAAGCGCGCGAAGCCGAACCCCCCGACACCTCGGCCACAGGCGGCGGGAGGGTTCAAAAATTGGCTGAGGGTGCATAGGGTTTAGGGTTTAGGGTTTGGGGTTTGGGGTGTGGGGTTGTTTAGGGTTTAGGGTTTAGGGTTTAGGGCGGCGGGAGGGTTCAAAAATAGGCTGAGGGTGCATAGGGTTTAGGGTTTAGGGTTTGGAGTTTAGGGTTTGTGGTGGGTTGAGGGTTTCAGGCTTCCTGTCACTACGAAGGCTCATGTACCGGCCGAAGGGCCTTGAACTGTCTGAGGGTTCATGTGGGGGTTGAGGGTTTAGGGTTTAGGGTTTAGGGCTTCAGGGCTTCGAGCAAAGGCGGGCTCGGCCCCCCCTGCTGCGGTCTCGGCTCCCTCAGCTGCTGTCTCGGCGGTGAGCTCTTCGAGTGTCTGGGCAGCGTGGGGAGGCTTAGAGGTGTTGGGGTGTAGGGTTTGGGGGCTTAAGTAGGGTTTAGGGTTTAGGGTTTAGGGTGTAGGGTGTAGGGTGTAGGGTTAGGGTTTAGGGTTTAGGGTGTAGGGTGTAGGGTTAGGGGGCTTAAGTAGGGTTTAGGGCATTAGAGGGTTTAGGGTTAGGGTTTAGGGTTTAGGGCTTAAGATTGCCAAGCAATGATGATACATAAAAAAAGAAGAACCATAATTCCAACAGCGAGAATACTAGAATACGAACAAGAACAAGACTCAGCATAATAACAACAATAAGCAGCAGAAGCAACAACAATATTTATGGTTGAGGGATTATAGGGCTTGCGGGTTAGGACCCTGCACCCTGCACCCTGAACCCTGAACCCTGAACCCTGAACCCTGAACCCTAAATCCTAAACCCTAAACCCTAAACCCTAAACCCTAAACCCTAAACCCTAAACCCTAAACCCTAAACCCTAAACCCTAAACCCTAGCGCTGCCGAGGTTCGAGCTCCAGCTCCAGCGACTCAGACACAGACTCGCAGGAGGATCCCGACCTGCAGGTGCCTAGGGTTTAGGGTTTCGGGTTTGGGGTTTAGGGTTTAGGGTTTGGGGTTTAGGGTTTAGGGTTTAGGGCTTGGGGTTTGGGGTTTAGGGCTTAGGGTTTGGGGTTTAGGGTTAGGGGTTTGGGGTTTGGGGGATTTAGGGTCTGGGGTTTGGGGGGTTTGGGGTTTTGGGTTTAGGGTTAGGGGTTTAGGGTTTTGGGGGTTTAGTTTTTGAGGGTTTGAGGTTGGGGGTGTAGGGTTTGGGGTTTGCGCCTTGGTAAAGTAGGTTTTAGTAATGTCACGGCCCAGATTGTGAACTTTAAACTTTTCGGATCTCCTGATTTAGCAGGAATAATGAAGTTTAACCTTCTTCCCCTTGGTCAGAGAAGTAGGACCACCAAGACCCGACAGTTGCCCAGCAAATCCATGCCCCTAAACCCTCAACCCTCCAAACCTCAAAGCTAGTTTCAGAACGGTTTCGGGCACTTGTCGGTACTCACTAGGATCAGGGGCAGGTAGGCACCCAGGCTCATGTAGGGAGAATATCCCTAAACCCTATACCCTGAACCCTAAACCCTAGACCCTAAACCCCAAACCCTGCAGCGAGCCCATACTAAGCCCTGGCAAGTCAGGCCGCCATGCGGGCATCCCTGGCAGAAGGGCCGACTGCAGCCACGGACGAGGCATGCCCTATACCCTAAACCCTAAACCCTAAACCCGAAACCCGAAACCCTAAACCCTAAACCCTCAACCCTCAACCCGAAACCCCTAAAAGAGAGGTACACATGGCCCTACGTCTGCTCCGTGGACGTTCAAGTGAAGGTTAAATCTTGCTGATTTCTGCGGGCGTTTAGTGCTGAATGCAGGCTCAAGAAGAGTTTAGGGTTAAGAGTTTTACGGTTTGGGTTTACGGGTTTAGGATAATAGCCAATATATACGACCCAGACCCAACATGCACGTACAAGTTGATATCCTCATTCGGCCAGCAGTGCCATTGCTTGCATGAGCGTGTGTCCCCAGCCTGTCGCGTTGCCCGAGACCCTGAGCACTAAGCTGCAAAGCCTAAGCGCAAAACCCTCAACCCCTGAAGCCCCAAGTCGCAAAACAACCAGAAAGGCTGCCAGAAGGACCAAACCCAAGAAGCAACCCAGTAAGCCCAATAAACCCTCAACCGGGTAGGGGCCTTTGGAATACTTGATATTTCCCTGTATTGGGTTGACGAGGATGATATTTAGCAACATTTTCAGAGGGTTTTGTCCCTGGAGCCCTCTAAGGTCTTCACACCCCAAACCCAAACCCAAACCCTAAACCCTGAACCCCTGAACCCCTAAGCCCCTAAACCCACAAACCCCAAACCCTAAACCCAAAACTCCAAACCCTAAACCCCTTACCCTAAGCCCTAAACCCCTAACCACCCCAAAACCCCTCCTCCTTGGGCGCGCCTTCGCATCCCTAAACCCTAAACCCTAAACCCTAAACCCTAAACCCTAAACCCTAATCCCTAAACCCTAAACCCTAAACCCTAAACCCTAAACCCTAAACCCTAAACCCTAAACCCTAAACCCTAAACCCTGAAAGGACGCAGCCCAGCTTCGGGCCGCCCTGCGGCTGTCGCTTTCCGAGGCGCCCGCAAGGGAGCCCCCGGAGCCCGCGCAGGCCGGGCTTCGGGTTTAAGGGTTTAGGGGTTTAGGGGTTTAGGGTTTAGGGTTTAGGGTTTAGGGTTTAGGGTTTAGGGTTTAGGGTTTCAGGGTTTAGGGTTTAGGGTTTAGGGCTTAAGGGTTTCAGGGGTCAGGGTTTAAGGGTTTAGGGCATAGGGTTTAGGGTTAGGGTTAGGGTTTAGTGTTTAGTGTTTAGGGTTTAGGGTTTAGGGTTTAGGGTTTAGGGCTACTGATAACTAGGGTTCAAGTGCTGCCGTGTACCCTGAGTAACCTTTAACCTTCAAATGCCCTAAACTGTAGCTCCTGGCAAAGAAACAGGCCCTGAGGGTAGTTTCATGGGCCCTTAATTTGGTCCCTAACCTCCCTTAAAGGGTTCTGATGTGTGGGCCCCTATTGTGTAGGGCATATACGGCGTATATAAGTTAAGGGTACCCTTTTAAGGGCCCATACTAAGGGACCGTGTGACCCTAAGACAGGCTCTACACTAGCAGCATGTTAAGGCCCTTCTAAGCAACAGGCCCCACACAAGCAGCGGTTCCAGCGTCTCTTGCAGAAACCACAATGTGGGGGTTTACGAAAATAGGGGACCCCTAGAATAGACCCCCCGAATAGTGTTCCCTCATAATGACCCCCATAAGGCACCCCTAATTTCGGAAACCACCATATACTACACCCAATGCGACAACCACGACTGATTAAGCAGCAGCAAAGCAAATCGCGCCACAAACTCTACGCCCTACGTATGTTTGGCACATGCTCCATGGCTTGCTTCGACGTCACACTTAACTGGATGTCTAGGGAAAAGTCGATCGATGTTTTGCTAAACCGTGCCCGTGCTACTCATCCGGGATTGAAGAGAAGCAGTTCTCAGGTGGTTCCAAAAGAAGTAAAAATTTTGACAGGCCACTTAAGTGAAGGTGTCTCCTCCTAAGCTTCTCCGCCGTTGAAGAAGCAAGCCACATCAATCCTCGATAGGCAGGCTACAAAGCCTACGCCCCAAACCTGTCATTAGGTTGAGGGCTTCCAGAACACAAAGGACGCCGGCACCTCCCTAAACCCTAAACCCTAAACCCTAAACCCTAAACCCTAAACCCTAAACCCTAAACCCTAAACCCTAAACCCTAAACCCTAAACCCTAAACCCTAAACCCTAAACCTAAACCATAAACCCTAAACCCTAAACCCTAAACCCTAAACCCTAAACCCTAAACCCTAAACCCTAAACCCTAAACCCTAAACCCTAAACCCTAAACCCTAAACCCTAAACCCTAAACCCTAAACCCTGCGAAGCCGCGAGCCTCGAGTTTCGGGTGCTTTCGGGGAGCTTTCCCGCAGGTCACATACTGGCGCTACCTGCAAGGGCGATCCAGACACTTGGTGGTCCTCTGAGCCTTGCTAGCCCAGGTGGTGCCCTTTACCCCCCCCCCCCCCCTTTTTTTTGGCTATGGGTCCCCTTATAAAGTAGCCAACCCGAAAAAAGGGGTGCCCTTATTACAACTTAACCCTTTTTTTGGGCTCTGGGTTCCCTTATAAAGTAGCCAGCCCGAAAAAAGGGTGCCCTTATTATGAGTATGGTTACTGGGCTACCAAGGAGCCCTGAGGCAAGTCCGATTTGGTGGAGGCAGCGGAGGTTCAAAGCCCTGCTGTGGGAGGAGGGATGGCAACGCAGGTCCCGGAGGCCAAGAGGCCCAAGACCGAGGAAGCCGTGAAGTACCCCACGCAGGATCTTTCCGACGTCCTTGGGAAGCACATCATCTACACGTATGAGAACGGCTGGCAGTACGAAATCTACTTCAAGAGCGCCGAAATGGTCCACTATCGCATTCACAGCGGACTCGTGGCCGGTCGGTGGGTCACGAATCGCGAGGTTTGCATGACTGCTCTTGGCAAAGGCCTCATCCGCATCAACTGGCAGGAGCGCTGCCAAAAGTGTGGACAGAACGGCTTCATATCTGCTGCATGGTGGGTGGTAGTGTACTTAGTGCACCTGAAAACTGCTCGAACATTGGCATTGTACAGTAATTTGAACTGCACCCTCGGACGCAGTGGACTGCACCAAGATCTTCGTTTTTCAGGGCTGAGGTTCACATAAAGGCCCCTTTACACCAAAAGGTTGCCCTTTTTATTCCTTGGCTACTCTTGCGGTCTTGACGAAGATCTTCGTCAGGAGCCTGTCGGGAACATTGTCACGATGGTCACAAACCTCACAGACCGATGGCTTCACTCCTATTTCCTGATGCCGAAGTGGATTACCGAGGACAGCGGCTTAGGGTTTAGGGTTTAGGATTTAGGGTTTAGGATTTAGGGTTTAGGGCAGTTTAGGGTTTAGGGTTTCAGGTTTGGGGTTCACAGTGGGGTAGCATACTAAATTCTTCAGGGTACTCTGAAACTTAACAAGGAAGAGAAATTTGAATTCTTAATGCTATCCCTAAACCCTAAACCCTAAACCCTAAATCCTAAACCCTAAACCCTAAACCCTGAACGAGGGACAGCGGGGCTTGACGATGGCTGTGCGCGCAGTTTTCCCAGGCCTCCAGCCCAAGACCCGACACCTTAGTATACCCTCAACCTCAGTCCTTGGACCCTAAACCCTAAACCCTAAACCCCAAACCCTAAACCCGAAAGCCTAAACCCTAAACCCTAAACCCTAAACCCTAAAACCCTAAACCCTAAACCCTAAACCCTAAACCCTAAACCCTAAACCCTAAACCCTAAACCCTAAACCCTAAACCCGAAACCCGAAACCCGAAACCCTAAACCCTAAACCCTAAACCCTAAACCCGAAACCCGAAACCCTAAACCCTAAACCCTAAACCCTATCCCTTGCCTTGCGGGGAAGGCTTGGACTTGAAGCTGCAGCTAAGCACTGGGGGGTGAGAAGTCCCAGGGGGACTAGGGTTTAGGGCTTGGGGGTTAGGGTTTAGGGTTTAGGGTTTAGGGTTTAGGGTTTAGGGTTTAGGGTTGAGGGTTGAGGGTTGAGGGTTTAGGGTTTAGGGTTCTAGGGTTTAGGGTGAGTCGTCAGAAGTTTACTTGCAGTCTTGAAAGGGAGGGTTTGCTGTAGTGCAGGGTAGTAGCGCAGTATCAAAGGCAACCTTACAGCAGTACTCTAAACCCTAAACCCTTGAGCCCTAAGCCCTTAACCCTAACACCTTCAACCCTGACGAGTACTATACATAGGGACTAGGTAGGCAACCTTTAACCTATTTGGTGATATAGAATACCACCATACTGGGACGTTCCCCCTTATACTAACAGTCCTTAATCGGGTTTAGGGTTAAGGGTTTAAGGTTTAGGGTTTAGGATGATTATGATTCGGGGTACTAGAATCCCTATTAAGGAATGTTCGTATAAGAGGGAACATCCCAACTACCACATACAAAACGTTAAACCCTAAACCCTGAACCCTGAACCCTAAACCCTAAACCCTAAGCCCTAAACCCTAAACACTAAACCCTAAACCCTAAACCCTAAACCCTGAACCCTGAACCCTGAACCCTAAACCCTGAACCCTAAACCCTAAACCTTTATTTGGGCTACACCATCGAAGTAGGAGGTGCCCAGGGCTTTGCTCAGGGGTTCCCCTACTACCCCCCTCTATACTAACCCCACTATTCAGGGTTTAGGGTTTAGGGTTTAGGGTTTAGGGTTTAGGGATACTACCCCCCGAGGCTCACCCCACAATGAAGGCTATTCAGGGATAATTAAGCCTAATTAAGATTATTTAAGGGGGGAACCTAGGGGGGGTAGGGAAGCCCATGACTTGCGGAGGACCCCATGGCGACAGTCTGCCACGAGGATGAGCACGTGGAGGAGATGCTGAAGCGGCGGGAGAAGGACAGACCCAACATGGTACTCACATGGGTGGCTGTCAAAATTATGATCCTTTTTGGGGCACCCTAATATTAGGTGCCGTTTTATACCAGGGATCCAAAAGGGACAAGAATTTTGACAACCACCCAAGTTAGGGTCCCTTTTGGGGTTTAGGCCGATGTATCTGCCGGAAGTCGATGTATGCGACAGAATCTTATCTGCCCCCTTTGTCACTGATGCCTTCATCTTCAACATGGGTGGCTGTCAAATTAGGGTCCCTTTTTGGATCCCTATTATAATGCGGCACCTAATATTTAGCGTACCCCAAAAGGGACCACAATTTTGACAACCACCCAACTTAACTTAAGTAGCTGATACCGACATGAGAGTCCCGGCCCTCTCCTGGATGTGTCCACCCACGCGACAGGGGCCAACGTGGCCCATGCACATTGCGGAGAACGCGTTTGCCACCATCACGTTCCTGGGGACGAAATGAACCCTAAAATTGGGGTCATATATCCTCTACTACTATAACCCCGATTCAGATAACCCCAAACCCTAAACCCCAAACCCTAAACCCTAAACCCTTTTAGGGTTCATTTCGTCCCCAAGGTTCTTGGAAGATGTCGGCCCGGGTCGAGACGACATCATCGACTGCCCGCCAGACAAGCTGCCCCATGACAAGCTGCCCGAGGGCTATGCCAGCCGCAAGAACTAGGCCACCCCCCCCCCCCCCCCCCCCCCCCCCCCCTGTAGTACCCTTATATCCCTTTTTGCTTTCGGGGGTTCCTTCTTGAAATTGCGTAGTAAGCAAAGGGGCTACCCTTTATTTTTCAGGAGTTACTTTGGGCGCTAGAGAACTGAGCTCTTGGAGCCCTTTCCCCTGGCTTCAAACGCATTTCGGCGCGACGCGGTGCCTTGCCACAGCCTGTAGCCTGAGCAGCGCCGCTGAAGCTGTATAATACGGTGGCATCATGTCGGAGCAGAGGCAGAGAAAGGTGCGCCGCATCTCGAGCCTTAGGCCTCAGGGTTCAAGAGTATGAAGTGTGGTTTACACTCGGCTCTAAACTCGTGCGTAGCATGCTGTTGTTTGCGATAGCACAGACAGTGTAGTATAGAGAGTTGCATGGTACAAATCTACCCGATCTGCATCTGTATATACATATACCGCACGAGCGTATATGTACACTAGACAGACGGATTTCATGCGCGAACTACCTTGGGACCGTGATCTTCTCACGTGTAGTACACTAGCCTCAGCTATGAAGACTCGGAATAGTCAAAAACCAACGAATGCATAGAGATCTCTCACACCTAATTACGAGCAACAACTGCTGTTCCCCCTTATACTAACAGTCCTTAGTAGGATTCTAGTATTGGGCTGTGGGGCCTAAAGGCCTGGCTGTATAAGGTTTTCAGGGCTGTTTATAAAACAACAGTTTTCTATACATATATATATAATATAATATATATATATAATATACTAGAACCCAGAGTAGGCCCTTATTATTCCCTTTTTTGGGGGGTTTGGGTTCCCTTGTGATGCCCTTTAAAACCAAGAAGGGCCTCAGGGTTAGGCTTCCAGGCTCCCGGCTTTCTGAGCGCCCGGGGGGCATCTTCAGGCTTGGGCCTGAATCGTGGAACTTTACAAGGAAAACCAGGGAGTCGTTCGGGAAGGAAATCCCTGACCCCTAAGACCCCTAAGACCCTAAAGCCCTAAAGCCCTAAAGCCCTACAGCCCTAAAGCCCTGAACCCTAGAATTCCATAAGAAAATGCAAGGATCTCGGGCGCCCCTGTTCCTACGATAGACCTTCTGTACCCCTTCAATGCCTCCTCAAATGTCAAAGACAAGAGGCCAAGATTTGAGGTTCGGGCCTCGTTAAGGAGTTTTTGTTTCCGAGTTTCTGCAATTGCCCGCAACTCTTACAGACAGGCTATGCCGTATGTTACGTTTTCCAGGCAAGGTTCCTAGGACTTGTGGCTCTGAGCTAGCCTGAAGCTGAGGCCCCAACAATCCCCGATCGATTCTCAAATCCCGAAGCCCTGGTAGGCACTCAACAACCGTATACTTTCTTTGAACCGGGAACCTCAAGGCCCCAAAACGCTAAACCCCACGCCTAAACCCCGACCCTAAACCCTAAACCCTAAACCCTAAACCCCAATCCCCAATCCCCAATCCCCAATCCCCAATCCCCAATCCCCACTCCCTAAACCCTAAACCCTAAACCCTAAACCCTAAACCCTAAACCCTAAACCCTAAACCCTAAACCCTAAACCCTAAACCCTAAACCCTAAACCCTAAACCCTAAACCCTAAACCCTACGAGACTGAGTTTTGAAGGCTGCGGCCTCTTCACCGGGCCGCTTCGCGCGAAGGCTCTCCGTGGCACCGGCCAGCGCTCCTGTGGCGGAGCTGACACAGTGTAGGGTGTAGGGTGTAGGGTTTAGGGTTTAGGGTTAAGGGTTCAGGGTTTAGGGTTTCGGGTTTAGGGTTTAGGGTATAGCGCTTGAGGGTTCAGGGTTACTGGGTTTTCTGTGCAGGCTTTGGGGTTTAGGGCTTGGGTCTAGGGCTCTTTCTTGCAGGGGTTATGGCAGTGTTTAGGCATTCAGCCTTGCTAGGGTTTGGGGCATTTCGGGAGTGGATTTTCGGGTTTTGGAGGGGTTAAACCCTAAACCCTAAAACCCTTCCTGGTTCCTGCCTAGTTGCTTTGCAGGGACCTTAATGCAGTTCTTTTCTAAGTTTTCTCGGGCTATAAACTCGTGAAAAGGACACAAGCGCTCTAGCACCTAAGCGCCTTAAATTTCAGCATCCCAAAGCGACAACCAAAGTCTTAGGGCTTCTTTAGGCTTCCCTCAACCCTCAACCCCGAAACCCAAAACCCTAAACCCTAGGCTTCCCTCAACCCCAAACCCCAAACCCCAAACCCCAAACCCCAAACCCCAAGCCCCAAACCCCAAACCCTAAACCCTAAGCCCTAAGCCCTAAGCCCTAAACCCTAAACCCTAAACCCACTTGGCCCCAGACCCGAAGCCCCTTGAGGCTTCCTTGACCCGTTCATCTGTGGGCTCCTTTTGGTGGATCTCGCGAACCCTGCAACACTAAAACCCACTGTTGGGTTTAAGTTTTAGGGTTAGGGTTTTCGGGGTTTAGGTTTAGGATTTTGGGTTTAGGGTTTAGGCTTCAGGCTTTCGGGTTTAGGGTTTAGGGTTTATAGGATTGCATGAAGCCCTAAGCTACGCGAAGTCCCCGCCCAAGGTAGACCTTGACAACTCCGATGACTCGCAGGGGGCGGCGCCAGCAGAGACGCCCGACAGAGGGGTTAAGGGTTAGGGATTTAGGGTTTAGGGTTTAGGGTTAGGGATTGGGGCTAAACCCTTTAGGGATTGGGGGTTATTGGGTTAGGGGTTAGGGGTTAGGGCCAAACCCTAAACCCTGAACCCCTAACCCCGAAACCCTAAACCCTAAGCCCCCACCTACACCCAGAGCCACCAAACCCTTAGTTAGAGCGTATCAACACTCGGTGAGCTTCGGTCAGCCTCCCCTAAACCCTGAACCCCAAATCCTAGACCCTAACTCCGGGCTGGCGCACTGAAAAGGTGTGACCCTAAACCATAAACCCTAAACCCTAAGCCCTAAAATGAAGGCCGCAGCAGTCCTCTATCTCGCTGGTGGTGGATCGCTGTGAGCGGCAGCGCAACAGGGCGCCGCGGGAAATCTACGAGGCTTCCGCTGCTGGCTGTTTGTGGTTTAAGGGTTTTAGGGTTTAGGGTTTAGGGGGCTTTGGGGGTTTCAGGGCTAAGAGTTTCGGGTTTAGGGCTTTCAGGGCTTTAGGTTGAGCTGGCTAGATTTTCTGTCTGAATGAATGGGCTGTAGTTGCATGCAGAGAAGTCGGGAGAGGTACAGAGGGTTTAGGGTTTAGGGTTTGGGGTTTAGGGTTTAGGGTTTAGGGTTTAGGGCTTAGGGTTTAGGGTTTAGGGTTTAGGGACTCCTGGGTCTCGGCACTGGGCGCAGGAACTCCGCAGCCAGCTGGAGGGTTCGGCGGAGGTCCGCTTCGAGTCGCTGATGCTCACTTGCAGGTTGTTCTCGCAGAGGCTTGGGGTTTGGGGTCTAGGGTTTAGGGTTTAGGGTTTGGGGTTTAGGGTTTGGGGTTTAGGGTTTAGTGTTTAGGGTTTGGGGTTTGGGGTTTAGGGTTCAGGGTTTGGGGCTTAGGGTTTGGGGTTTCAGGGTATAGGTTTTAGTAGCCTGGTGGTACCCTTATGCCCTTTGTTTGGTTCAAGGTTCCCTTCTAAAGGTACCAAGCCAAAAAAGGCTACCCAACTATGATATGGTTTCTGGCCTACCAAGAGGTTCTCCTTCTTCGAGTCATTTGGGTTTAGGGATGTTTGTTTTTGCGGAGTCCCTTGGGTTCAGGTTGTAGGGCTTATCGGGGCCCTTTTTGGTGTTCTCTGGGTTTAGGGTTTAGTCTTCTCATTTACCGGCTCCAGGAAACCTTAAACCCTAAACCCTACACCCCACAAGTATGGTGATCCCCTTTGGTTAGGGTTAGTAAATATAGGGTTCAATTTCACAAGGTTGCCTTCGTAAATCCTACAAAGGGGCTTCGTGTCAAGCGCGTGCAAGAAAGGTTCCTTAGGAGAAAACCCTAAACCCAAACCTTATGCCCGAAGCCCATCCACAGCTCCGACAGAAGATCACGCTGGAGCGTTAAACGAAGTCCACGGCAGGCAATGTGCATGATTACACGCAATCGTTCACGACGGACAAGACGCTGTTTAGGGTTTAAGGTTTAGGGTTCAGGGATTAGGGATTAGGGTTTAGGGTGTTTAGTGTTTAGTGTTTAGGGTTTAGGGTTAGGGTTATGGATTTCCTGAAAGAAGGGCACGAGGTGTTGCACATTGACGAGTGCCCGAAGATGGGTCTGCACTATATCAAGGCCTTCCTCGAAAGTCATCTACGACAGCGTCGCCTTCTTGACAACCGCGGCCTGAAGTCAACGGACATCCAGCCTTAAGTCTGCCGGCTTTAGGGCTTAGCGGATAGGGTCCGAACCCAAACCACACAAACCTGTCAAACAGCCCCCTCTCTCTAAGGAAGCTGGGGGACTATCTGTGGCTGAAAGGCGACACTGCCCTCGGAGCCTGTGTGGAGCGCAAGACTGTGCGTGACCTCGTGGGAAGGCCGGCGCTCCAAAGAATCCGAACAAATCTTTGGATTTTGGGCTTTTAGGGTTTAGGGTGTTTTTAACGTTAAAAACACTAAATTAGGATTTTGCGAGTTCTTGCATGAATTGAGATGGATGAGGAAGGTTAGGCGCCCCGCTCATACAGCCACAGCCTCCTTCAGACTTAAGAATGCCTAGACGAGTGCCGTACTACTTTGCATTGGACCACCAAACCCTAGCCAAAGCCCAAACCCCTGAACTCTGCTATTTACAGCATGAAGCACGCCTTTTCAAACCTTCATCTAACGACGAATGCTGTGTGCGGGGGGGGGGCCTAGCCTTGCCTGAGCCTTCTTCGGATTCTGTAGCGCAGGAGGAGCTGTCAGTCAACAATCCCCGGGTTTAGGCGCTAGTCTTTAGGCTTTGGGGTGCTCGGAGTCTTCTACGGTTCTAGAGGCTACGACCCAGAGTATATGGGCCCTGTTCACTTTTTTGGGGTTTCGCTTCCCTCATATTCGCCTTCAAACCCCAAAAAGGGTCCCCTTTTTATGCGGTCAGAGTTCACCCGAATTAACCCCAACACCCTTACCTGTAAGCCCTAAACCCCAAGCCCAACACCCTTGGCCCTCAAAACCCCGAGCGCCCCTCTGTCACGCGGGAGGTCTGCGCGAGGGGACCACCTCCGCCAGATCAGGCGGCGTGAGTGTTTGTTCTCCAAATGAGGGTTTTGTGCCAAGGCCCCTTATCAGCCCGACAACCCGCGGGTTAATAGGGTTTAGGGTAGTTTAGGGTAGTTTAGGGTTCTTTAGTGCTTAGGGATTTTTGGGGGTCGGGGCAATCTGGGATGCAAAATCAAAACTAGAAGGTTGCAGCTTCGGTTTTCCGGTCCACAGGTGAGGTCTTGAGATTCCTCGCTCCGGAAAGGCTGAAGCTGGAAGCCGTTGCCTCAGAAATCTGTAGTACTAGCGCTTTTACCACCCTCCTCACTGCAAGAGAACCCAGGAAAAAACCCCGAAACATGCCCCAACCCTTGCTCTCAGGGTTTAGGCCTTAGGGGGCAGGGTTGAGGGTTCCACTTCCAAAATCTCGCCCACACCTAGACCAAAAACTCTCTAAGCGCCCAGAAGCTAAGGGAGGCTACTCGGTCCCTGAATTTGGCCCCCTTACCTTTCAAAGGGTTCTGAAGTATGGGTATATAAGCTGGCATCTGAGGGTCCCCAATAAAGGGCCCATATTTAAGGGACCATGTAACAACCCTGGCCATAAACCATAAACCCTAAACCCTAAACCCTAAACCCTTAACCCTTAACCCTAAACCCTAAAACCCTGAACCCTAAACCCTGGCATATAAGATGTAGCTACCCTAACTTATAAGACCAAGCAGCCGGACATTCGAGGCGCCTTGGTGCCACCGGTCTCCCTGGCATGCTCCTGCTGGAGGCACTGGCCTAAAGCAGAGCCCTCAACCCTGAACCTTGAACCCTAAACCCTAAACCCTAAACCCTAAACCCTAAACCCTAAACCCTAAACCCTAAACCCTAAACCCTAAACCCTAAACCCTAAACCCTAAACCCTAAACCCTAAACCCTAACCCTAAACCCTAAACCCCCTAAACCCTAAACTAAACCTACCCTAACCCTAAACCCTAAACCCTAAACCCTAAACCCTAAACCCTAACCCCTAAAACCTAAACCCTAAACCTAAACCCTAAACCCTAAACCCTAAACCCTAAACCCTAAACCCTAAACCCTAAACCCTAAACCCTAAACCCTAAACCCTAACCCTAAACCCTAAACCCTAAACCCTAAACCCTAAACCCTAAACCCTAAACCCTAAACCCTAAACCCTAAACCCTAAACCCTAAACCCTAAACCCTAAACCCTAAACCCTAAACCCTAACCCCTAAACCCTCAACCCTCAACCCTAGACCCTAAACCCTAACAGTTTGGGCTTGAGGTTCGAGGAGGAGACCAAGGGACTTTTGGGTAAGTTCAGGGCTCAGGGCATGTGGTGACGGATGCCGATTCTCAGGTTTCGGGCTTGGGAGTTTGGGGTTTAGGGTTTAGGGTTTAGGGTTTATGGCAAATTGTGGCTTCAGGGTATGCGTCCGGCGCCTGGGGTAGACACCACGGCTGCTCTTACACGCGCTCTAGGGCGGGTTTCAATGATGAAGCCTCATTTTCAACGATGAAATGCTAAATCTCGAATGCCCTAAGCCCAAAAACCCCCTAAATCCTAGCCTAAACCCCTAAACCCCTAAACCCCTAAACCCCTAAACCCCTAAACCCCTAAACCCCTAAACCCCTAAACCCCTAAACCCCTAAACCCCTAAACCCCTAAACCCCTAAACCCCTAAACCCCTAAACCCCTAAACCCCTAAACCCCTAAACCCCTAAACCCTAAACCCTAAACCCTAAACCCTAAACCCCTCTTCAGAAGAGCCTCCCAAGTGTGCATGTTCCCTGGCAGGGGCCCCTCTCCGTGGCCGACAACAAGGCGCCCTCGTTGGAAGCCTGGGTTTAGGGTTTAGGGTTTAGGGTTTAGGGTTCAGGGTTTCGGGGGTAGGGTTTAGGGCTTAAAGGTTTAGGGGTTAGTGCTGTAGGGTTTCGGGTTGAGGGGCTTGCTTGAGGGGTTCATGGACACCTATACCAGTAATTAGGCTTTGGGTTTTTAGGGGTTTTGAGTTTAAGGGCTTAGGAGTTTATGGGTTTAGGGCTTGAAGGTTCGCGGACATTAATACCCTAAACCCTAAACCCTAAACCCTAAACCCTAAACCCTAAACCCTAAACCCCAAACCCCAAACCCTAAATCCTAAACCCTAAACCCTAAACCCTAAACCCTAAGCCCTAAACCCTAAACCCTAAACCCTAAACCCTAAACCCTACGTGCATAAACCCGACACCCAGCCAGCGACCGACAAGGCCATTCCCTACGGAGCCGACTTCTTCTCGAACGGACCCACGGACCCAGCGCTCAGGGACTCCGAAGACGTACTTGAGTTCCTGGCGTGGACGGTGCTGTGCCCTCACAGCATTGTTACTTAATAGCTGCCTAAACCCTAAACCCCAAACCCAAACCCAAACCCCAAACCCCAAACCCCAAACCCCAAACCCCAAACCCTAAACCCTAAAACCTAAACCCTAAACCCTAAACCCTAAACCCCGTAGATGCCGCCTTTCGGCTCGCCGGGACCATAAGCCCGTAAGCGCTTCACCTTGTGCACTTTTCCTTTTTTTGGTTGTTTCAAGTCTTCCTTATAAAAGTACCCAACCCCCGCCAAAAGGGTACCTATAACTGCTATGGGTGGGTGTATATAAGGTTCCTGTTTAAAATTTCCAAGAAGCTACTGACTTGAGTGGTCCGAACATCTGGGTGGCCTACGACAAAGCCCAGGTACTCCCCATGTGACGTGTTGCTCACCTCAGACCACGTGGATTCTCGGCACGTATGCGGTGTGTTCGGGCTCAGATGTCGGGCTGACTGGGTGTTTTGGTACAATGTGTTTGCCTCAATGAGGGCACGGTATGACAGGTATGATGTGCTAAGGGACCATGATGTGCCAAAAGGGGGCCTTCAATAATATGGTGGATACCCTGTAGGGTTTAGGCTCTAAAGGGTTTAGGACTCACAAAGACACCCTAAACCCCAAGCCCTAAGCCCTAAACCTATACCTACTAGGGGCTGCTTGGAGTCTTAGGAAACCCTTCTCTGGAGTTCCTGAACAGCAGCCCAGGAGCGCCTGATATCTATAACCCCCAAACCCCTACTACACGCCTCTAATCCCCAACCCCCTCACACCCCTAAACCCCTAAACCTGGGATGCTTCCCCTTATACTAACAGTCCTTAATGAGATTATAGTAGGGGGTACTATAGTCCCTATGAAGGACTGTTAGTATAAGGGGGAACATCCCAACCTAAACCCCTCAAATCCCTAGACTCCCGAAGCAGCAGGAAACGGCTGCTTGGTTGAGCGCGTGGACGCTGGTGTTGCGCGACAGTGCGTGGGCGCAGGCGCCAGCTTTGAGTGCGTCAGAAGCCCGACCCTAAACCCTAAACCCGACACCCGGAAAAAAAAACCCTAAACCCGGAAAAACCCTAAACCCCGAACCCTAAACCCCCCCAACAAAAACCTCAAGCTTCGACCTTCCACCCAAGCTCTCGTTTCCCAAATCCTCGGCCCTAAAGCCTAAGCCCTGGACCCCTGCCCTCAACATTGCCTCTAGGAGCTGACGACACCCATGACGTCCTGGAGTGACTTGGCAGCTTCGCTGTTCTTGCTTGCGCTTGATTCATATGGGGCTTTCCGAAATAAGGGGGGGTTTAGGGTTTAGGGTTTAGTGTTGAGGGTTTAGGGTTTAGGGTTGAGGGTTTAGGGCTCATACACCCTAGTCGACTCTAGTCGCATACTTAGGGCATCTGACCATTAATGTTAGGGTTTATCTGGTCCCAGGAAACGATTGCCAACATGATTCGTATTAGCAAATATTATTACCTTATTCTTCTGTTTTGGCTTAGGGACCCTAAGCCCTCAACCCCAAACCCCAAAGCCTCAACTTTAAACCCTAAACCATAACCCTAAACCTCAACAGAGGACAGGCCCCGGATGCCAGTGATGCTGAGTACGGCACGTTGTTGGAGGCTGCGCCGTGTCGGGGTTGAGGGTTGAGGGTCCTTTTAGGTTTTTCAGGTGGTTTAGGGTTTAGGGTCCCTAAGCCCTAAACCCTAAACCGACAACCCTAATCCCGAAATCTGAGGCTCTTGAACGGTTTAGGGTTGAGGGCGCATACAGAGCTATCAGCCCCAACTCAAGCCCTATGCCCTCGACGCTAAATCTAAGCCCCAAAGGAGGTTGAACCCCAAAACTTGAACCCAAAACTTGCTAAACTCAAGCTTGCTCCCCGAGACAGGGTTGACATCTTTAGTTTGCGGAAAGCGCAAAGAATCAATTTAACAGCCTGGTATCCCAGTGGCATCTTTACCCTTTTTCTGGTGCTGTTCCCTTATAAAGGAACCAACCAAAAAAAGTACCCTTATTATAAGCCGGTTGCTTGGAGGTTCATGGTACTTATTAACCATGAGGTAATATTGAGGGGGTTAGTTGGCCGGGCAAGGGGAATATTGAATATTCAGGCCCGTTTTGAATATTCAAAGGAACCCTGAATATTCAATCTTGACCTGGGCCAGCCTATACGCAAAACGTGAACATTTGAATATGCAGAATGAATATTTTGAATATTGAGGGGGGTCCCCGCTGAAGGTTCAGAGGCCGGGCCAGGGGAATATTGAATGTTCAGGCTCGTTTTGAATATTCAATTGAGCCCTGAATATTCAATATTGACCTGGGCCAGCCTCCACGCAAAGCGTGAACATTTGAATATGCAGAATATTTTGAATATTGAGGGGGGTCCCCGTGAAGGTTAGGAGGCCGGGCCAGAGGAATATTGAATATTCAGGCTCGCTTTAAATATTCAAATGAGCCCTGAATAATCAATATTGACCTGGGCCAGCCTCCAAGCTTAGGCAGGGGACCCCGTCAATATTCAAAATATTCGAAATATTCAATTATAACTGTACTCACAACGCACTTACAAGCCCTGCCCCAATATGGTTATAAGTACAGTGATAAGTACAGTGTTAATATGAAACTCCAAGTACTGGTCCATCAAGAAGTACAAGATTGTCCTAGTGTGATGGGATCCAAGGGCTGGGCGGGCGAACGTTCGCTACCGGAATAGCGAGCTTGACTGGTGAATGCCTGAACTTGAGATGAACCCTCACCCTCAGGCCCTAAACCCAAGACCCAAGACCCAAGACCCAAGACCCAAGACCCAAGACCCAAGACCCTAAACCCTAAACCCTAAACCCTACACCCTGAACAGGGCCCTGTAACCCTGGAGGCTGGCCGGGCTGCAGGCTTCAACCGCATCATGGTCGCAGGGCCGAGGGGTGTGGGTCTTTGTTGCGGGTTTAAGGGTTTCAGGGTTTGGGGTTTAGGGTTTAGGGTTTGGGGTTTAGGGTTTCAGGGTTTAGGGTTTAAGGGTTTCAGGGTTTAGGGTTTAGGGTTTAGGGGTGTCAAGGTTCAATTGTTTAGGGTTTAAGGGGGCTTTCGGGAGTGAAACCCTAGACCCTACACTCTAAACCTAAACAGCTCAGGGCAGGTTCTCAGGCGCCCTGTCGTCATGACCAGGTCAGGTGCATTCGTGATTCCGTTCAGGGTTTAGGGTTTAGGCGTTTAGGGTTTCTTGGCTTCATGTGAAGTTGTTGTTCTTGGTGAGTGTACTTAGTGGTCCCTACATATATTGGTGAGTGTCCTTCTGGGGGATACCAGAACAGCAAGAAACCTACTTCCTGTCTTGAAGCCGAGACCCTCACTACCGAACCCTGGCCTGCATCCATTCCGAGCCCTCAGCTAGACCCCTAAAGCCTGAAACCCTAAACCCTAAACCCTAAACCCTAAACCCTAAACCCTAAACCCTAAACCCTAAACCCTAAACCCTAAACCCTCTGAGCCCTACACCTCTAACGCCCTAGACACGAGGCTGCGAAATGGATGCGATCGGCTCTCGTTTTCCCTCTGCCGCCTGGCTGGCAGACAACGGAAACCACAAAGCAAGAAGGGCTTTGGGGTTTGGGGGCTCAGGGGTTTAGGGGTTTAGGCATTAGGGCTTTTTGGGGTTTAGGGTTTTTAGGGTCCACACAAGGAGGGCTTATGGTTTAGGGGTTCGGGACCTGATCCTCACGCTTCGGAAGGAAGGAAGGAAGGAAGGTTCACACAAGGAGGGCTTATGGTGTAGGGGTTCAAGGTTGAGGGGTGTAGGGGTCCTGGGGCTTAGGCTTGTTTTCGTTGTCCGGGCGTCACTAACCGCAAAAACCCCTAAACCCTAAACCTAAATCCCTAAACCCCTAAACCCTAAATATAATGAAGCACACATGAACAGGATACGACAATTGAGTTCTGGGTAGTCTGGTGCTGCAAGCACATGGATGATGGTTAGGGGTTTGTGGGTCAAGAATGCTTTGGAAATCAGGCTTTAGAGTTGTGGACCAATGGTTCAAGCTGTAGACTTAAGGGTTTCGGTTTTGTGCTGAGGGCTTACGGCTTAGGTTACGGGTTTAGAGTACCCTGAGCCCTGAATTGCCCTAAAGTCTGAACTCTGAGAGCCTTGAGGTTTAGGGTTTCTTCCCTTTACGGCAAGGTCACAAGCCTCCAAAAGGCATACGAACGCTGCCGCGACAGACGGCGGCGTCAATTGCTGCTAGCTCGCCTGCTCCTGAACGCACAAGGCAGGACACCCTGAACCTTCAACCCTGAACCCTGTACCCTTAGCCTTGAACCCCAAACCCCCTCATTACGCCCACCTGTCCAGCTTCCCCAAGCTTTGCCCCCAAAGCCCCAAATCAAGAACCTGTCCGAAGCATGGAAGTTTTTGTCTAATTATTTGTCAGGAGTTTAGGCTGGGTCTATTTGCCAGGAGCTTTGTCTATTTGTCAGGAGCTTAGGCTAGGGTTTCGAATTTAGGGTTTAGGGATTTCCTTGATGTTCATTAGGGTTCGGGGTTTATGTTGCGGGTGTTGGCTTGTACTCAAGGCTCTTGGGCTGTGCCTTGCGCTAAACCGGCTAGACCTCTCAAGCTGCAAACCCCGACACCCGCCTGCTAAATTCCGAAGGGTTGAGAATCTCTTAGATTTTAGACTAGGGCAAGGTGGGGTTCAAATAAATTAGGGTTTAAGTAGGGTTTAAGTAGGGACTACGTAGGGTTTAAGTAATCCCCGCCCCCTATTGTAAACCCCCCCCCGCCCCCGCTACCCCAATATTTAAACCGACAAGCCCCCACCCCCCCCCCCCCATGTAGTGTAATATAACCATAATGGGGGTACTGAATATTAGGGGGGGGGGGGGGGGGAGGGGATTAGGTTTAGGGCCCCAAGGTGATGGTGAGCAGGACGAGGCGCGCGCCCTGCGGCTTTCCATTGACCTGTTCCAAGCTGCCGAACCTGCGGGCCAGGCTCCCGATGCCTTGGGTTTAGGGCTTGGGGTTTGGGATTTGGGGTTTGGGGTTTAGGGTTTAGGGTTTGGGGTTCAGGGTTTGGGGTTTAAGGTTTGGGGTTTCGGGTTAGGGTTTGGGGGCTGGGGGGCTAGTGTTTAGGGTCTAGGGTTTGGGGCGAAGGGTCTATTTTTGAACACCCCCTTGGAAGACCTCACTTCAGAGGACACTTGTGTGTTCCTGCTCTGTGCCCCTCACATTGGAACAGCTCTCGCCCTGTGACCATAAACTCAAAAGTCTCCCCTGGGTCTCCTTTGAATCCGCTGGTGTAGTTGGCCGGGATATCAAACATCGTCAGCGCGACGCTGCCCCTCCATTTCCCATCTTGGCTCAGGGCCAGCGAGGCGCAGGGTCGGGGTTGTGCTGAGGCTTGCCTGTTGCCGCTCACCTGGGATGTACCGGTGCCCACCGCTGGCGTATTGGCTTGGATCTCCGACGCAGGTTACTGCCTCCTGCTACCGTCTAGCGGACTCGGTCTTCCAGCCTGCCCGAGACCCTGCCCTGGACCTCCAGGGCTTCTTTCATTCAGAGAGAAGGGCGCACTGATTGCTGCCAGGCGACCAAAACCCCTTGCAGCTTGTCATGGCTTACCGCCAATTTGAAGGAGGCTGGCCTCCAGTTCCTCCTGGCCTCAGAAGCGCCGCGCTTCAGCGCGAGCTCGAACTCGCACAGCTTCATTGGGTTTGCGAGTCCGCCGGGTGCGTGGTTGACACAGTGCCGCTGCTCCCTTCCTGCCTCTTCCCCTGCCCCTGTCCTGTGTCCTCCCTCAAACTTCGGGCACGGTGTGCCCTAGCTCGCTGGAAACACTCGAGTGCTTCACCGCCCAATCCGAGCATCTGGCTGGAGCTGCTTTGCTCTGCGCAGCAAGCCGACCCGCATCGCGCTCGTGAGGCGAGCCCAGCTCTGCAAAGAGGGACATGCCTACATGTCCCATGGAGCTCGTTGCCCCATTGCGATGTAAAATGTGCGCTGCGCTTGCGCCAGCACGCTTGAGCGCTCGAACTGCGCTGTCCTCTAGCAGCCTTGCTCCTTCCCTTGGCTCGGCCCCCTCCTCCGCCTCCTCCTTCCTTCTTTAAACCCTGATTTTCTCGACTTTTTTTCCTGCTGCCAAGCCACTTGGATGTAAGTTGATTTTTATCCTTGAACCTTTTGGGTAGGGGGCCGATGACGTGTGCGAGAAGAGTGGTAACCGCAGTAACTACCGTGCGACCGACCTACTATATACCTGTCGCGTCTTAATGTTCCAGCAAAAAAATGACGATGCTGTAGAAGTAGGATCTAGGGTGGGATTTATCTTCGAGAAGTTGCATGGTCCCCTAGTATGGGCCCTTAAAAGGGACCCCCTTATATATCCATGAAACTACCCTCAGAATTTAGGGTGTGGGGTTCTTGAGTTTAGGTCTGGGGCATCTCTGCCTTCATGGAACTGACGCCTCCCCTTGCAATGTAGGGTTTCGGGTTTAGGGTTTATATGGGTTTTGTGTTTAAAGGGGTTTAAAGGGGTTTAAAGGGGGTTAAAGGGGTTTAAAGGGGTTTAAAGGGGTTTAAAGGGGTTTAAAGGGGTTTAAAGGGGTTTAAAGGGGTTTAAAGGGGTTTAGGCCGGTGCCAGTCAGTAGGTGCCGGAGCATCAGCGGGGCTGCGGTTTCTGGAGGTTGCCTGGCATTCCAGCCTGGCTTCGGGGAGGGGGGAGGTTCGGGCTTTCAGGGCTCCATTCCCTGAAGCCCCCAAGCCAAGACCCGTCTCGTCTCGACACCCCAAACAAAACCTTAAACCCCAACAGCCAACTCCCACAGCCCAAAGCCCCCAACGGCCCCAAACCCTTGAAACCCCTTAAATCCCCCTCAAATCCCCCTCCAGACCGCTTAAGCCCTAAACCCTAAACCCTAAACCCTAAACCCTAAACCCTAAACCCTAAACCCTAAACCCTAAACCCTAAACCCTAAACCCTAAACCCTAAACCCTAAACCCTAAACCCTAAACCCTAAACCCTAAACCCTAAACCCTTAAACCTAAACCCTAAACCCTAAACCCTAAACCCTAAACCCTAAACCCTAAACCCTAAACCCTAAACCCTAAACCCTAAACCCTAAACCCTAAACCCTATAAACCCTAAACCCCAAACCCCAAACCCTGAACAGGCCCCTGTTGAGCCAAAGATGCCAACCGTCAAGCTCGAGCGCCGCGCCACCCAGAACCTCGCCGAGCACCTGCGCCCCTTTGCTTGACGGGTTTCAGGGGTTTCGTAGGGTTTAGGGTTTAGGGTTTAGAGTTTAGGGTTCAGGGTTTAGGGTTTAGAGTTTTTGGGGTTTGGGGTTTGGGGTTTGGTGTAGGGTTTAGTAGAGCTGAGGGGGTTTAAGTTTGTGGCGCAGAGAGGGACACGCAAGCCGACACCAGAAGACAACAGCACAATGTATCAAATTCAGAGACCACTTGTAGGAGGGGTTAGTAGGGTTTAGTAGGGTTTAGTAGGGCTCAGTAGGGCTTAGTAGGGTTTAGTGGGGTTTAGTAGGGTTTAGTAGGGCTTAGTGGGCTTTAGGAGGGCTTAGTAGGGCTTAGTAGGGCGTAGTAGGGCTGGTTTTTTAGGGTTTAGTACCTAACCCTAAACTCTAAAACCTATAACCTATAACCTATGACCCTATCACCCTAAACCCCAAACCCTAAGCCCTAAACCCCAAACCCCAAACCCCAAACCCTAAACCCTAAACCCTTAACCCTAAACCCTATAACCTATAACCCTAAACCCTAAACCCTAAACCCTAAACCCTAAATCTCTCCAGGCCTGCTGCTCCCTGCAGGGCTCCTCCATGGCGAGGCGGGTGGCGCGGAGCGGGTTCGCCTGCAGCTTCATGGTCGCCTGGAGTCGATGGCTGGTACCCTTTTGGGGGTTTAGGGTTTAGGGTTTAGGGTTTAGGGTTTAGGGTTCAGGGTTTAGGGTTTAGGGTTTAGGGACATATATGGACGCGCTGGGGGAGTTGTTTTTGCTGGGAGGATCACTTGGGGTGTAAAAGGTTTAATACTCACCGCAGTAACCTCAAGGGCTCTCACCCCAAACCCATAACCCTACACCCGAAACCCTAAACCCTAAACCCAAATCCTAAACCAATCCTAAACCCTGAACCCTAAACCCTACTCCCAAAAAGGGCCCCTGAGTTTAGGGTTTAGGGTTTAGGGCAAAAGGGCCCCCCATTGAGAGGATTCCGTCCCCGTGTTCATGCTGCTTTTGCCAAACCCTAAATCCCAAACCCCAAACCCTACACCCTAAACCCCAAACCCCGACCTCTGAAAATCCGGCACTTGGCTCCCTAAACCCTAAACCCTAAACCCTAAACCCTAAACCCTAAACCCTAAACCCTAAACCCTAAACCCTAAACCCTAAACCCTAAACCCTAAACCCTAAACCCTAAACCCTAAACCCACGAAGCTCAGGCACCGGTGACTTCTCTTCCTGGCGCTCGGCGCCCTGCCACGTCCATCTGTTGGAAGGGCCGCCTTGGCTCTTGTGGAGGGTTTAGTGTTTAGGGTTTAGGGTTTAGGCTTTAGGGTTTAGGGTTTAGGGCTTAGGGTTTAGGGTTTAGGGTTTAGGGTTCAGGGTTTAGGGTTCAGGGTTTGTTTTTCAGGGCTTAGGGTTTAGGGGAATTCTCGTGGCCTGATTCAGTTTTCAGTGGGGTGCCTCCTTGGTTCTTAAGCGCATGAAGCAGGTGCGCCTCAAGACCCGAAACCCGAAACCTAAACCCTAAAACCTAAAACCCTAAACCCTAAACCCTAAACCCTAAACCCTAAACCCTAAACCCTAAACCCTAAACCCTAAACCTTAAACCCTAAACCCTAAACCCTAAACCCTAAACCCTAAACCCCGCACCCTAGTCCCTGAACCCGAAACCCCAAGCCAAGAAAGTGTCTGAGTCCATCATACGACTGCTATCCCTTAGTAAATCATACCGGACGCCCACCCCCCCCCCCCCCACCCCATACCCCGAATGGATAAGCCCTCTACAGGTACAGGTCGGAAGAATTAGCAAGAATAGTCCCTTAGGATCCCCTTGTAATTATACTACAATAACCCGCCAAACCTTAATCTAATTCTTCAGGCCCCTTTATTACCCCCTTCTTGGGTTACCACAAGAAGGCGACCCCTTACATTTAGGGTACCAAAAGCGGGGTCATCATCTTGATAGTTGACGGCATCGTTTTCCGCATGCTTCACTATTCCCGAAATCCTTTCGCCAAACAAGCAGTAGCGACGTAGTAGAGCACTACCTCTATCCAAAAATTTTCCCGGAACCCAAAGCCCTACACCCTCAACCCTGAACCCTTGAAAGAAATAAACCCCAAGCCCTAAACCCCAAACCCCTAAAAGCCCTAAAGCCCTAAGAACCCTAAACCCTAAACCCTAAACCCTAAACCCTAAACCCTAAACCCTAAACCCTAAACCCTAAACCCTAAACCCTAAACCCTAAACCCTAAACCCTAAACCCTAAACCCTAAACCCTAAACCCTAAACACCAAAACCGGAAGCAAGGACATTCTTCCTTCGTTTCCTGCAGCCGACCCTGGCCGTGAATAAGGCTGGGGTTGATTTGGAACAACCTGTAACGTTCTGTGGGGCATCCTTCCTATAGAGCCCTATCCCTAAACCCTAAACCCTAAACCCTAAACATCCCTAAACGCCAAACCCTAAACCCTAAACATCCCTAAACGCCTAAACCCTAAACCCTAAACCCTAAACCCTAACTCTTTACCCTTTTAGGCCCATACCAAGGGACCACGTAACTACCCTGAGCAAGGGCCCGGGAGCTGCCGCGGAGCACGCAGCCGCCGCGCTGGCGCGAGCGCTCGCGCTTCGGCGGTGTCGGGTTTAGGGTTTAGGGTTCAGGGTTTAGGGTTTGGGTTTCAGGGTTTCAGGGTTTAGGGTTTAGGGTTTAGGGTTCAGGGTTCGGGTTTCAGGGTTTAGGGTTTAGGGTTTGGGTTTCAGGGTTCAGGGTTCAGGGTTCAGGGTTCAGGGTTTAGGGTTTAGGGTTTAGGGTTTGGGTTTAGGGTTTAGGGTTTAGGGTTTAGGGTTTAGGGTTTAGGGTTTAGGGTTTAGGGTTTAGGGTTTAGGGTTTAGGGTTTAGGGTTTAGGGTTTAGGGTATTAGGGTTTAGGGTTTAGGGTTTAGGGTTTAGGGTTTAGGGTTTAGGGTTTAGGGTTTAGGGTTTAGGGTTTAGGGTTCGGGTTTCAGGGTTTAGGGTTGAGGGTCTAGGTGGGGTTTAGGGTTAGGGTTTGGGGTTTCGGGTTTAGGGTTTGGGGTTTGGGGTTTGGGTAGGGTCTAGGGTTTAGGGTTTAGGGTCTAGGATTTTGGGTTTAGATTGTTGGGTTTGGGGCTTTGGGGCTGTGGGGCTTAGGGTTTAGGGTTTGGGTGTGGGTTTGTTTTCGGGTTTAGGGTTTTCGGGCTTAGTTAGGGTTTGGGCATTCCGAGGCGGGTATGTTATACGAACTGGCAGCAAACCAAGCCACCCTAAACCCCTACATCCTTAAACCTTTGGTGGCCCCCCCTCCCTGTAATAGTGCAAAATTCGGTTCTGTACTAAACACATAGCCAGAATGGAGCACCAGGAAATCCAAGCATGTTTTCGGCCAAATCTGGCCAACCAAACACATCCACACCCCCACACCACACCACCCCCACACCACACCACCCCCACACCACACCACCCCCACACCACCCCCACACCACCCCCACACCACCCCGACACCACCCCCACACCACCCCCACACCACCCCCACACCACCCCCACACCACCCCCACACCACCCCCACACCCCCCACACCCCCACACCCCCACCACCCCCACCACACCCCTACCACCCCCACCACACCCCACACCCCCACCACACCCCTTTAAGTTAAACCTTCAATAACCCAAACCCTGAAATAAACCCTCAAACACTTTAAACCCTGAACCTTTGCCCTTGTGTCCCAAACTCGAAACTCTAAACCCTAAACCCTAAACCCGAAAACCTAAACCCTAAACCCTAAACCCTAAACCCTAAACCCTCTGTGGCGTCAGCATGAGGCGCTCTCCTCCCAGGAGCGGCACGCGGCTCGAACCAAAGTTGCTGCAGCGGAGAAGATGTTGAGAAGGATTAGGGGGTTTCGGGTTTAGGGTTTAGGGTTTAGGGTTTAGAGCTTATTCTTTTCCGGGTGTAAGCATGTTTAGGAGCCCTAAACCCCAAACCCTAGACCCTAAACCCTAAACCCTAAACCCCTGCTTAGGAACTTTTTTTCGGAGGGCTTCAAGGGTCCAACCTTGCTTCGGGTTCCCCATGGTTCAGGTTTGGGACGCCAAGTGGCAGTCCGAAGCGCAAAACGCCGTCGACCCAAACCCTGCACCCCAATCCCTAATCCCCAAACCCTAAGCCCTAAACCCTAAACCCTAAACCCTTAAACCCTAAACCCTAAACCCTAAGCCCTAAACCCTAAACCCTTAACCCGCATTCCCAATCCATTCGACCTTGTGCCCTTTAGGTTCGGAATGATCGGAAAGGCCCCCCTTACAGCACGAAGGGATCCGTGTTCTGAACGAAGGTTTCGATTGGGCTCGGGCCGTAGATGTGGGATACCGGACCGTCACCTTCTCCTGGCTCCGAGAAGGTTAAGGGTTTAGGGTTCAGGGGTTTAGGGTTCAGGGGTTTAGGGTTTAGGGTTTAGGGTTTAGGGTTTACCCTAAATGGGACCCAGACAGAGACACAACGCCCACATGGTCAGCTCCATAGACCTCAAACCCTAAACCTTGGAACCATGGACCCTAAACCCTAAACCCTAAACCCTAAACCCTAAACCCTAAACCCTAAACCCTAAACCCTAAACCCTAAACCCTAAACCCTAAATCCTAAAGCCTAAAGCCTAAACCCCTTGCTGAAAGGGATTTGAAGGGATCCGAAGTATGTGCCCCTATTATGTATCGTGTATATAAGGGCTATATAACAGGGGACCCAAAAGTAAGGGCCCGTATTTCGGATCCCCTACCAGCTGAAGCACTACCGAGGTGATCCTCAACATGCAAAGCCCTAACCCTAAACCCTAAACCCTAAACCCTAAACCGTAAACCCTAAACCCTAAACCCTAAACCCTAAACCCTAAGCCCTAAACCCTAAACCCTAAACCCTAAACCCTAAATCCTGATGAGCTGCCCAGGTGATCCTGGTGTATGGCCTGAAGTCCGCGGCCAGCCGGGCAATCAACCAGAACTCTGGCTCGCCGCTGGTGCCTGCCGCGAAGATCCTCAGTTGCTGTTTAGGGTTTAGAGTTTAGGGTGTAGGGTTTAGGGTTTAGGGATTAGTCCTTGATAACCTGAACCCAAAACCCCCAAAACCCTTAAACCCTCAACCCTGAGTTTTTGGCAGCCTTCCATGTGGGGTTTACGAAAATAAGGGACCCTTCCAAACACCCAAATAGTAGGACTTCCTTGTAATAAGGAGCCCTAACAAGGTACTCCTAATATCGTAATGCCTAAACCCTAAACCTAAACCCTAAACCCTAAACCCTAAACCCTAAACCCTAAACCCTAAACCCTAAATCCCAAAACCCCAAACCCTAAAACCCCAATGCGTGGCCAAGGAAAGTCCAGCAGCTGTTTCCTGCTGTGGTGGCAGTACTCATCCTTAAGCACAAGGTGGGACCCCTGGGAGGATCCAAAAGTAGACCTCCTTAAGGGTTCCTGAAAGTGACCCAATAGTAGCATGGGGTACTGTACCCTAAACCCTTAGCCCTAAACCCCAAACACTTAATCCTGAACCCCAAACCCTAAACCCTAAACCGTATTTGAGGGCTCCACTTTTAGGGGTCTGGGAAGGTGGACCCGGCAGCTCTACCGTCTTTTTTGGGTTTAGGGTTGTGCTGTGTAAACCCTAAACCCTAAACCCTAAACCCTAAACCCTAAACCCTAAACCCTAAACCCTAAACCCTAAACCCTAAACCCTAAACCCTAAACCCTAAACCCTAAACCCTAAACCCTAAACCCTAAACCCTAAACCCTAAAAACCCTAAACCCTAAACCCTAAACCCTAAACCCTAAACCCTAAACCCTAAATGATCTTGAGACGTTTTGCGTTTTCCCTTGTGTAGGAGGATTGAAGCAAACAACAACTCAAAGCCCTAACCCAAGAACGTCTTGTCTTGGAAGCCCTTTGTAGAGTTGAATGGGCCAACCTGGCTAGGGTTTCCAAAAGAAATCCAAAGGCCTTTGGCTTCGAAACGCCCAGGGACCCAGCACAGAGACGAAACCCTAAGCCCTAGATCCCCATGCTTGGGTTTAGGGCTTAGGGGCTTAGGGGCTTAGGGCTTAGGGGCTTAGGGTTTAGGGCCGCACGGTTGAGGGTGATCTGTGGGACCCGTGTGCAGGTGAATGCCTTGTCGTGGTCCACCAGACAGGCGGCCATCAATTTCGTGGAAGCTTTGAGCGCTCAACTCGCTCAGGGTGAGATGCTGCAAGAATAGCGATTTAGGGCTCATGCTACCTGAAACCCAGAATGCAGAGCCTCGGCAGTCTGGCGGTAACTTTTCCTGTCAACCTCAGCTGAGAACCCAAAGAGCTATCTTTTTTGAAGGGGGTTCTTAAACAAATCTAAACCCTAGACACTCAACCCTCAACCCTCAACCCTCAACCCTCAACCCTCAACCCTCAACCCTCAACCCTCAACCCTCAACCCTCAACCCTCAACCCTCAACCCTCAACCCTCAACCCTCAACCCTCCACCCTCCACCCTCAACCCTCAACCCTCAACCCTCAACCCTCAACCCTCAACCCTCAACCCTCAACCCTAAACCCTAAACTAAACACCCCAAACCTAAACCCTCAACCCGAAATCATAACCACCACAGCAGTAATAAACTTAAACTTTCCAAGCGCCAAAAAACCTGTCAGGCGGCGGGTCAAACTAAGTTCCTAAGCTTAAAGCATGAACTGTAGACTTCCTAAGCACCCTAGGGTTTAGGGTTTAGGGTCTAGGGTTTAGGGTTTAGGGTTTAGGCTTTAGGGTATGAGGTTTAGGGCTAGCGGTTATTCAGGGCTTAGGGCTTGGGATGGGTTTATTTAGGGATATCAGGAGGGACCCCCAGAAGGGACCCTTAATTAATGTTATTCCCCCAAATCACCCTTAAATCTACCGTATATAGTCCCTGTAGACCTAAAGGACCCTCCTTTAGTCCCTTGAGTTTAGGAGTCTCTAGGCTTAGGGCTCTAGTCATGCTATTCTTGCAGCCTGTCCCGCGTTCGAGCCCTGGCCACAGCTGGCCTATGGCCGGTGGCGCCTGGCTGTGTGCTGGTAGCCATTGGCCGTATGGGCTGGGATGCCTGTAGGTTTGGTGGGTTGAGGGTTTTAGCCATTTAATTTAGGGTCACGTGCTTTTGCATAACTTGCTAGTTCCCCCTCTTGCTTGAGTATAGAGCCCTGGCCATAAGCTTTTTGGGGGAATGAAAGGCCGAAGGCGGTCTGCGTAAGGGTGACACTTGTACACAGGAATCGGGCCACCCTCTGTCGTGCCGGCAGTCGGGCAATCCACCGGCATGACAATAGGACATCCCAGCACCTAGCGATACTCCCCACACGTGCATTGTGGGCCAGTACCGAAACCCTAAACCCTAAACCCTAAACCCTAAACCCTAAACCCTAAACCCTAAACCCTAAACCCTAAACCCGAAACCCTAAACCCTAAACCCTAAACCCCCCCTAAACCTTCAGCCCCAGAGTCCTGAAACCCACCTGCAAAGCCCTGAACCTGATTTGGCTGCCGGGAAACAAGAAGCCGGCAAAAAGCGCGAGTCAGGGCTGCAGAGGAGGTACCAGAATCCGTTTATGCAAGGGGTCTTATTTGGTAGCCCTAAACCCTCATCCCTACATCCTAAACCCTAAACCCTAAACTCTAAGCACGAAGCCCGAAACCCTAAGCCCTAAACCCTAAACCCTACACCCTAAACCCTAAACCCTCAACCCTCAACCCTAAACCCTAAACCCAAACCTCTTTCGTGGTTTCGACCTCTTCTTAGGTGCTGGAACGAGAGTCCCCTCGAACCCTAAAGAACTCTGCCAGCAGGCTACTTCAACTCTTCCCCAAACAACTCCTTCCCTTAGCCCATTCGGAAATAAGCTTCAGGTCCCAAACCCTCAACCGATATCGGCCTTGTGGTGTTCAGGTCAAGGCATCTAGTGGCCTTGCTTTGAGAACTCAAGGCCTTAAGGAACATTCCTGAAGTTGCACGGCGTGGGTTCAGGATTTAAGGATTAGGGTTTAGGATTCAGGGGTTAGAGTTTAGGGTTTGTGGGCGTGGAGAATCCTGCGATGATCTAGGGGGATCTTCCTTCATGTAGAGGGTTTAGTGGCAGCTGAAGGTTCAGGGTTCAATGTCTGTAGAATGCCGGCCCTCATATTCAACGACGGGGGTCGGTACCTTTTACGATTCCTGGCTGGCCCTATTAACACCCTCACCCCTGAACCCGAAACCCCCAGACCCTCAACCTAAGCCCCAAACCCCAACCCTAAACCCGAAACCCTAAACCCCAACCCTGAACCCTAAACCCTAAACCCTAAACCCTAAACCCCAAACCCCAAACCCTAAACCCTAAACCCTAAACCCTAAACCCTAAACCCTAAACCCTAAACCCCCTCTGGCGACGTGGCAGATCCTGGTCTACGTCTACCATCCACAGGTGGCCGGACCCTGAGTTGCGAGGTGTCCGGGAGTCAGCCTTAGGGTCTTAGAGGTGTTTAGGGTTTAGGGTTTAGGGTTTAGGGTTTAGGGTTTAGGGTTTTAGGGTGTAGGGTTTAGGGTTTAGGGGTTTTAAGGGGGCCCTAGGGTTTGGGAGTAGGTTTTTTTAGGGTCTTAGAGGTGGTTTAGGGTTTTCTTGTTAGGGGGATGTGGTTAGGTAGGGTTTATTTCGGGTTTAGAGTTTAGGGTTTAGGGTTTAGGGTTCAGCGTTTGGGGTTAGGATTTCGAAAACTCAAGGGTTCTTGCGCAAAGGTCCAAAGCTTCTATCTTTATTTCACCCCATATGTCCCTACATGATCTCTCATTCTCTTTCTCTCTGTCTTTCTTTCTCTCTGCTTGTTGACAGATTTATCTTGCTTTCGGTCAAGTACCATTCTCTATGCACAGATAAGTGTTCCACAGTATATCCCGAGACCTTCCAGGAAGGGCCATTATACCCTATAAACCCCTTTAAAAGGCCCTTTGAAGGATTGATTATCGGGATTCTGAGGCCTGATAGCCCCTAAACCCTAGGCCCTAGACCCTAGACCCTAAACCCCAAACCCCAAATCCCAAACCCTAAACCCTAAACCCTCCTGGTTGCTTGTTTCTTCCAGGCGCCGGACCTTTTCGAGCTCAAGGCCAAAGACCGCGAGGCGCAAGCTCGCGCGGGGCGAGCTCGCGCGAGTCGCCGAAGTTCCGCCGGGTTTTGGTAAGCAGGCTGCCCTAAAGCCCCTATACCCTAAGCTACCCAAAACCCAGAACCCTAAACCCTAAACCTTCACATAGAGTGAAGGTTTTGGGGCTTGTAAAGCCACAGCCCCACAATCCGAAAGTTTCTGGAAGAGTCAGGGTTGCGGTACTTGCAAGTAGGGATGCAAGCAGGTGAGCTGTGTTTATGTCCCTCATTAAGGTACTTGCAACCCTTATCACAACCACGTACGAGCCGTCAAGTAGGCCCAAGCTCCGAGGTACTTATTTCTAACTACCCATGAACCCCTTCGGGTACACTCTAGCCTCCGCAAGACCAAAAAGCCGACTCTACCATCACCCCCCCCCCCCCCAAACCTTATAGACCCTAT